AATTACAATGTAATTCACAGCAGATGGCGGCCATGTTTAATCCGAACATACACAGTTCAATATCGATGAAGATGGTGATGTGTCAAACCGTTAGAACGAGCCTTCATACTGAAAACCCAAAACGCCACAAGCTAATTTTAGGGTCACCTTTCCGTTAAAGCGTCATTCACTTCACTGTAAACGGAAATTATTTCATCGTTAATGAAATACTATGAATTGTGGGAACCGAAGCTGTGTTTTTGGGTTCAGACTGCATCATACCGTTTTTTCAGCCTCCGACTCGATGGTGGTTAGCGGAGCCTTTTCTCCTCACCCACCCGCGGTTCGAACAACAAACATCAGCATTTATCCGCTTTACCTTGTCCGACGGAGTCTTCTGTCGTTCCGATGTCGATAAAACAAAAAAACCCAACGGGCGTGGCGGTGTATGACCGAGCTGGAGGGCTGCTAGTTTTCTCCGTGTGGGAATGTTGTTTTCTCTGAGAGCCAGACTGCAGGCAGGCAGGCAGAGCCGCGGAGGAGCATCGCAGGATGGGAGGGACCCGGAGCCTCACGTCAGCCTGAGGTCACCATCTTGGCCCCAGACCGGATTATCTAACCCGGGCTGGGACAAATCACTGTCAACAAGCATGTCACCTCATCCAGGGATAAATTCACGGAGGTGAAAATCAGTAATAAAATACAAACATAAGGGATCTACACAAAGACAACAATAACACTACTGCAACATATTTTTACTCAAGTAAAAGTAAAAAGTAGCCAAGAAATTTCTAAAGTAAGAGTAAAAAAGTATTCTGTAAAGAGGCTACTGAAGTACTGAATAACTGATCAAATTAGCAATCATTTAATATTTAAAAATTACATAATCAGAAAGAAAAAAATAAAAATCCGGAATAAATGTTGGTATTTGAAGGACAAAAATGACAATAACCCATAAAGTAACAAACAAATAATAAAATAGGCAACCTAAAAGATTTTCCAAAACAGTATTTTCAATTAAAAAAAAACACTTCAACAAAAACTGCAGGTGTGTGTCTGTGTTAGGTGAATTTGAGAAATGTGAGTAATCCAGAAAATCCAGAAATTTTACTCATGTAAGAGAATCAATACTAAAAAAATAGTCAAGTAAAAGTAAAAAGAACATCATTGTAAAATACTCTGAAAACTACTTTTTAAAAAAGTTACTCAAATAAATGTACCTGAATAAATGTAACTAAGTGTAACAGTTTTTTTTGGGGTGTAAATTATATTATACCTAGAAATACTGTTTCTATATTATTATACAAATAACAGCTAATCTCATCCTGTTGAAGGCTGCTGTCACTGTTGGGGAAATGAAATGTCAAATTTAACTTGTTTACTGTAAATTTATTATTTATCCATTGATTTTACTTTCAAATAGTAAACAATGGCATACTAAAATACCACTCTACATTTCAAAATCCAAATAAGTATTTGTTTGTAACTCTTGCGAGGTTAAAATCAGCAGCCATAACTGCCACTGTTATAACATAAGCTAATTACAAATTATGCTTATGATAGTAGATGTGTTAGACTCATAGATTAGTTTAGAATAAGTATCAAGTTCTTTGTAAATCACCTTGATTTACAAAGATTTGCAACTGCCAATCATAAAGGAAAAATACATCCAAGATGGGATCATATAATTAAATGTCAAATCTGTTTACCTTAACAGTCTTTCTTCTGTTGTGTTAAATGAGCCCCATCTAGTGGTCATATTTTTTTACAACCAAACAAAACGTTTTAGGAGTACATGAATGAATTTAAGAACATTAAATAAACAGTTTAATGCTTTTTCATTGAAGTCATCAAATTTATTGATGACTGCACAATTTAGCTGAAGGCTCCATTTTCATAAAATTAAGTGGACATCACTGTTTTAAATGCATATTTAAATATGCATATTTAAAACACTTAAATATGCATATTTAAAACATAGGCTTTAAAATAAAGCAAAGATGGATACCTGTTCAGATTTCAGAAAGTCATAAAATTCTGTTAAGCTAAGCATAAAATAAAAAGACAGTACAACCAGTTATAATACAATATTATTTTATTTTTGACCATCTGTTTAAGCACTAATCATCTCTTGTGTTTTGGATTGTATAACAACCCAAAACATAATTAATTAAACAACTGATTTTGCACCAAACCAAAGATGATGTAACACATACTCAGTTGCAAATGTGAAACTGCTGGAGTGGTTAAACTGGGTATAGACAATGATAGCTGGTTTCAGTGGTAAAAAAAAAAATTTGAGTCCAGTTGTGAGTTTAATGCACAGAGTGACAACTGCAAAAAGCAAAATTTTAAAGGCTTCCATTTGATAATTCTGGTGAATGTCCTGACTGAATTAAAAATAATCATTATGGATCAATATTTCTATCAATTTTTTGCACTTTCCACCTTTTAACTGGATCACAAAACTCCCTTCTATGGGGGGCCATACTGGCAACCTTAAGCTAATGCAACTCCTGGTATGGGTTTAATGTGGATTTAATATCCTAATTCTCTCCACACCTATGCATTTTTAGCAGGAGTGTTTTTTGCCACTAGATGGCAGAATGTGTCCTGCAGGAGTAGCCAAGAGCTGCATCATACCTAAATCAACTTGAAATGGATTTGTGCTTGCAGAATATAGGTTAAATATACTAATTTCTGATTTAATTAATTATAAACAACTGATTTTGTCCCAAACCAAAGATGATGTATCACTTACTCAAAGGATCCACATGTTTTACAATAAGTTTTGAGTGGAAATATTTTGTTTCTGCTATAACATTTTAATATACATTCAACATCCTTTTACCTGCTCTGTTGGCTTTAACACTGAGTTTATTGAGAACTATAACTTCTACGTTTTCTGATCTGAACTCATCCGCTGAGATGAGGATAACGGTGGTTGCATGTGCATACAGGGTCTCCCCATAATCCCAGCACTACTGATAGGGAAGTTCATTATATAATCTTTGTTTCTTTTTTCAGATAAAAAAAGAACTGTTTACATAACATGAGTGGCAGTTCTGTACATAGAGTCTGATCTTTTGGCATCTGTTGCTCAGCTGGATAATCTTACATGTGGATTCAGAGTGGATCTGCAAGTAGCTTTTTGTATAAATATAATACATATTGCTCTATTTATGAAAATAAACCAAATCAAACCTAAAGTACAACAAAGCAATCTTAACTACAATAAAAAAATAAATAAATCACATAGTTGCAGAGGCTTATTTTGTACCTAAATCACTATCAGAGAACACAACCTCAAGTCCCAAACCAGTATCTATCCTGCCCAGCCAGTGTCCTGAAACAGCATCTAGACACCAACCAACACCTCAGCCCCTGAAGGCTGAGTCACAATCACTGAGCAACCAAATGAGAACCCAGCCAAAAGTACTGAGTCCCCAAGTAAGAGCTAGTCACTACTAGAAATCTCTCCCACAGAAGCTTGAACCGCAGGCTCAAGGCAATCAGCATTAACCTCACTCCCAGGCACTTCCCCAACATTTGAGGCCTCAACCACAGAAATCTGGGCCCCAGGTTACCAGCAAAGACCTCAGTTTCAGGCACTTGGCCACCAACTGAGGCCTCCGTTAGGGATGCCTGAGCCCCAGGGTCAAGGTCATCATCAAAAATCTCAGTTCCAGGCACCTTTCCACCAAGTAGTACCTCAGAGAGGCAGTCTTGAGCCAACTAACCAAAAGAAAATGCAATCCAAGGCACCCAGCCACTACCAGAAACCTCAACTACTGAAGGCTGAGTCTCAGGTGCCATGAAACCAGCAGAAACCTCAGTTCCATGTTTCCAGCCACCAAGGGAGAACATCCCCATAAAACCCTATGCCTCAGGAACCTAGCAACTATCAGCAACATCAACCACAGAGGCCTGAGTCCCATGAAACTGGCCACAGGCCAAATACTCCAAACCAGGCGTTTAACTTCCAGCAGGGGCCCAAACAAAGACCCCCAACCCAGAGGTCTCAGTGTCCTTCTTACCATAACATCGTCTACACCAGTCTCATGGGCAAAGATACAAACAAAACCCCTCTTTAGAGGCACCTGTCAACCACCAAAGACCCAAACCTCAAGGACCACATCCTCAGTACTCAGGGAACAACACCAGGCTTCTGATGAAAAGTTTCACTCTTTGGATCAAAATGAAGGAAGACCAAGAGTTCCACCAGGTAAGTTTACAGCATTTATATTAAACCCCTCGACTCCTGTTTTCTACTGTCTCATTGTGATTTTCATCCTTTTTCAGGGTGAGTTTGCTCAAAACAAGCAAACTCACCCTAAGAAAGAAGACTTAGGACTTTTTTGTCTTTTCATTACCCTTCCAGTAAAGCTCAATGATGACTAATGGCTTCAATTTCTATTATCTATTCTAAAGGAAGTTTGTGAGTTCTGGTTGTAAAACGTCACAATTGGTTTTGACAAAGTATAAATGACCTTTTAGTTCTAGAAAAGATCACCTAAATGGCCAAAGCTTTATATTCAAAAGAAACCAGAAAATGTAAGCAGGCTTTGAGATAACTGAAGTTTAAAATAATCTGTTTTAGTGAAAATTGGAAATATTTAAGAACAAATACTGGTGGTCAAATCAGTCCTGAGTATGTAAACTGGCAACTTTCTAATAGCAACTTTGGTCTGACTCTTTGGATGTTAACTTTATTGCTAAACTTGGAGTCAGAAACTAAGTTTTGCTTGTCAACTGTAGAGAATATTTACACCATTAGATGTATGAAAAACTGGCTACATTTACAATTGAAGTATTAAAATTATGATGATATGCTCATACTGCTTTAAAATTGGCCAATTTTAGACTTTCTAGTAAGGGAATAGAATTTTTCTAAAAGTTGCCTTGAAACACCTGTTACAAATCGGAATTTCTAAATTCCGACTCCTCACTCCGGTCCGTGAACGCAGCAGCAGAGCCGCCTCGCTCTACCGGATTTCAGCCGGTAGTCTGTCGGTCTCAGCCGGTGACAGTCGACCCTGAAACCCCTCAGGGCTCCGCGGATTGTCCGCATCACATCATTGCTGCTTCCTTTTTTACTTTATTGATTTGTGAGATGGCGCGGAAAGTGCGTGAGATTTTGGCTGGAGTATAAATGACTGCGGAGCAACAGGGACCTGGGTTGGGGAAACTCACTGAGGGTTGCTCGGCTTTGGAGAAACTGTTGCACAAAATCCCGCTGAGATGTCCCTGCTGTGCGTCAGAGGTATGCGCTGTGGTTTGATTTGTTAAATATTATGCTTGCTATGGTTTGAGGGGGAAATTCGTGCAGAACTGTAAAAGGAGTTATGCAGAACTCAAAGCGTAAAACCGAAATATTTTAATTAAATTGCTGCGTTTTAAGCAGGAGTGGATTCAATCACATCAAATTGTTCCACAGAAACCTTGAAGTCGATGCATTTGAATCTAAATATAAGACAATGACATTAAATCTTATAACTTGAATTTAACTAGAAAAAGTTTTAAACTGGAGAGTAAATTTTAAAGTAACATTTAGTGGGGAGAATGTAAACGAACACCAAACCATAGTTCAACTCGTCAATCTGAAGTGATTTGAAGTTTGGTTGATTTTTATCTTTCACAAATTAGGCTACTACATATTTCTTACAAAATACAATTATGTGGAACCTGTTGAATAGCCAGTGATTTGTTTCTTTGCATTTTATTTTAAAACAAACTACAATGGTGACTTTGGTTAGTTGAATATGGAAGGACCTCATGTCAATTCAAGTTTTTTAACTTGAAATGACAGGAAAATAACTTTCCTTATGAATGAAGACGGCTGCATGCCACTTCTGCAGCCATTTATAGTGTCTTGGAATGCAGCCTTCAATCTCAATGTGTTGTAGACAAACTTGTAAACATTTTTTAAGAACGTTGATTATCACTGATAAAAGTTATCAAATGGATAAGAATTAAAATGTTGTATTTAAGATGCATATTTAAAAATATTGCAAATATTGCTTTTTGAAAGTTCTGCCATGCAGATTAATTTTAAGAAAAACATAAAATAAAATGCAGGTTTTCTTCCTTTTTCTTCAAAAACTGGTGTAAAAATCAGATGTTTCACTGCACCTTGAGTTAAAGTGCTCAGATATTGTAGATTTTCCAGTGGAACTTATCTGTGATGCTCAGCAGGAGAAGTAAAGAAAAAATGAACAAAAACAGCATGTGTAATTTTATTTATTTATTTATTTATTTATTTATTTATTTTTGTCTTAATATGATATTTTTATGACAGTCTGAACAACACAGATCCGATTTTTTTCCCGAGTACGACCCAGTCTACTCGGATATTGGTGTATCTAAATCCGATACGTATCGAATGTGTCAAACGTGACCTGAACCTGAACAGCCAGGTCGCGTTCGTCCGACGTGAACGTCATCGATACTCGACAAACGTCACTATTCTGCGCGCAAGCGGAAAGAAAAACAAACATGGCAGATTAAGTTGTTAATGCGCTCTCTCCAGTCCTTGTTCACCGTTTACTTCCGCAAACGTCAGTTAGCAAAACACTGAGCTCACTCGCTATGGGACGTCATTGCGCCCTCTACTGCGCATGCGGGACACTTTCAGGTAGTTTGCAATTCACACGAGAGATTATGTATAAATCGCATAAATTGGAAATGTGAACGACCATGTAAAAAAAAAACCCAAAATAACAATAAGAAATTTCACAACAAATCGGAATTGATCATCAAGTCCTGCAGTGTGAACGCAGCTTTAATTGATCTCCTGTGGCTCATATTGATTGTGGCGGGGTTTTTTTGTTTCTCTCTCATCTTTGGGCCTTTTTTCCATCACTGAACTCGCTGATGAAGTGTGAGAGATGGAGGGAGTGAAGCACAGCTGGGTTCAGGCGGCTGACTTCATATGAAAACAGAAAAAAAGTAATTCTGTTTCTTGAGCAGAAATGGAGAGTGCAGTTCTGTTTCTGATGAACCTGTGGAGCTTCAGACTGTCACCTGAATATTGCAGGTTTTTGACTGTCACCTCTTTTCTGTATGCAGAAAACTAATAATCTTGCTTCCCTTCAATAATTTGCTTGGTAAATGGCACAATAATAAAATTTTTTAGATGTTATTCTTAACAATTTTCTCATCGAGACTTGTGGATGATAAATTGACCCGGAAGTTATTGTACTAAACTATAATATTGTTTGTAATATTGGTTATTGTGTATCAAGCAGTAGGAGTTTGTCCTGTAAAATTTAAGAAACATGATTGACTCTGGAGGCTTACACCACTTTAATCTCCTTTTTTATTTGGATAAATAACAATTGTGATGATTCTAGTTAAAATAAATCTAGCAGAGCCGTGATGCCTTAAGTCCCTCCCAGTGCTCTGACGGTTAGCGATACAGTTGCTGCTCCTTAGCTCATTCTCATTTGCGCTTGAGCCAGATGCTAATGAAAATATGACCATGTTTGCTGAAGAAGGTCCTGCTGTGACATGTCAACAGCAGCTGCAGAAACTTCACTTTTTAATGTGTTGATGTAAAGACCTGCATTTAAAAAAATGCCTTGATTTTTTTAAATAGAAAAAATGAGGTAACATTTAAAGAAGGTGTCCAGATTGTTGCCATGTTTAAAATAAAAATAAAGTGATTTTTAGCAATCTCTGCAGGATTCTGTGATTGTGAATAGTTTGTAAACAGTGTGATTTATCTGCCATCATTTCTACTACAGCTACATACAAACTTACTTTTCAGCTCTTGCTAAGACATTCTTGTAAGACGATCTCTATCATCTTGACCAAGCAGATGGATTTTTTTCTCTGATAGTTTTCTTAACTCTGATCTCCAGATAATGTTCAGAGAGATAATTCATCAGGAGTTTCATACATCCGGACAGGTAGAGCTGTTCTGGCTGTCTAAAGCTAGTTTCACTTCCTTCAGGAAAAAGCTGAGGAACAGGCGGGGTGACATTTTAGAAACACTTTCCTCATTCCTGGCTTTGTCGAGGAAGAGAAAAACTTGCACACGCTTTCTGACATCTGCTATTTCTGGAAGGCAATTATCAGCTGAGTAAATGCAAACAGTAATGGGATTATACCATACTCTGTTGAATCAGGCAGCTGTGAAGATTCGGATTAGAGGAAATAATTTTTGCAGTAAGCAGAGGTGGACAGAGTAACCAAAAACTGTACTTCAAGTAAGAGCAGCATTATTTCAACATATTTTTACTGAAGTAAAACTAAAAAGTAGCTGTCCAAGATTTGGTATTTGTATTTGGTGCTCAAATACAGAGTAACTGATCAATTTCTAAATTATTTAATGTTTAAAAATGATATCATGAGACAGACCAAAATATAAAGTTAAGTGGAAATTTTGGACGAAAATGACAAGAATTCATATAAGTAACAAAATTAATAAAAAACATATAAAACTTTAACAAAAACTGCAGGTGAGTGACTGTGTCTGGTGAATTTTTGGTTAAAACATGTTTTTCATTCAGTGGGTAGAAAATCCAATAATTTCACTCAAGTAAGAGTAGAAATACTTCATAATAAAATTACTAAATTAAAAGTAAAAAGTACAGTGCAGTAAAAATACTCCTAAAAATGTTTTTTAAAAGTTACTCAGGGAAATGTAATTGAGTAAATGTAACTAGTTACTGCCCAACTCTCAGCAAACCATGTCAATCGTTTCCAGAGGCGAGTGCAACTCTCCAAAATTGTACTGAAGCAGTGCTACTAGATGCTTCCTTTACAATAAATGAATGGTTAAATGGTTAAATAAAAAAAAATCTGCACAATAAAGCATTTTAAAAATATGATTAATCATCAGAATAATCAATTAATCATCAGAAAAACTGATTAATTGTCAGAATAATTGATAGTTGCAGCTGTAAAATAAGTGGGCCAGCAGTAGGTGAGAACAGACCGGGTTATTCAGCACGGTGGACGGGATCGGCAGAGAGAGCAGTAAAGCTTCAGCGGCCCGTTCTGGAATCAGGGGGATGGGAACCGAGGGGAAGTAATCCCCAGGCCATCTGCTGCTCTCACTGTCTTCTCTCTGTGTTGTATGGGAATGTGAACTTCACGTCCCTGCGCTCTTTATTTTACTTCCTTTATCAAGCGGCTTCCTTTTTTTGCCTCAATTTATGATTGATCTTCTTCCCTGGATGATCTGAGTAGAAGTTCAGGACATTTTCTGTAATTGTTTAAGACAGGAGTGTCAAACTCATTTCATTTTCATTTTAAGATTATAGATGTCTGAAAGGGACAGTCCTGCTAGAATGAATTGGTAAACCCATCAACAAACTGCTCAAATGTTAATAAATATCAGTGTATTCATTAAATAAATACTTTTTCAAATGAAATAATAGATCATTATGACATTAGGAGCAATTTAGGTAGAAACAAATGGTAGTAAATTTCACTGAAAAACACAGAAGTTTTCAGATTAATCTCATAAATTTTCTAGAAAGAACTTTGAAATTGCTCAGTTTAAAAAGTCAAAAATTTGAGTGAAAAGAATCTGAAATTTTTGGGTCAATCTTAGAAATTTTCTGGAAAAAACTTCTGTGTTTCAAAAGTATTAAACACTTCAGAATAATCAGAAAATGTCCAAATGTTAAAATTTTTCAGCTTTTGAAATTCGTTTTTTTTCTAGGACATTTTTCAGATGAATCTAAAGCAGTGTTTTGATAGCAAATTTTTAGACTTTTCAAATCACACCTTTCATTTTCTAGAATATTTCTTTGATTATTTTGTGCAAATTTCTGACTTTGGGAGCTCAGAAATTCTTGCTAGAAGATTTCTTAGAGTAATTTCAAAACGTCTGAATTATTTGGGTGAAAATGTACTTTTCCCTTTTCTTTCTTCTAACTACAATGGCCTTAGCAGGAACTGATCTATGAGATGCAATCATGGATTAGTTCCTGTACGACCTTTGAATTTTTGTAACATTTATTTCAATCAAAATCACTGATTTGTGGAGCTACTCTAGAAATATTTGCAAGAAATTTTGCAATATTTGCGCTCACATGTGGTTTGTCCTAGTGTGTTTCTTGCTGCTTAATTGGCAGTGCTTCCAGGGAAACTTAAAGGAGACGCTTCTGCTTGTGCCACTGACATGAAACCCTTAAATAGCCTGAGGTCTGAGGTAACAATCCAGGTGAAGCAGAAAGAAAAGTTAATGGGAAGAAGTTAAACTTTCAGCAGAGCATCAGTCACAGCTACTAATGTTTAATCTGGAAATAGATTAGTACACCCTGACTAAGATCAATAAACTTTGAATTCTAATGAATATTTAACACTGTGACGAAATGACTTCTTTAATCATCTTTATTGGGTCAATATCCAAACTGCTTTATTATCTTAAAGTGATGTCTGTATATTATAAACATTCTGAAATGCCAAAAATTAGAAAATACTACCGAAAAAGAAGAATCCAAACAAAGGTTATTTTATAATTTGGGGATTAATATGCCGACGTAAAATCACCCAGCAAACAAAAAGTGCAGTCAACATTTTCTCTTCTGACTTTGCTGTATTTTCCCGTGAATTTAATTATTTTCTGAGCTGAAATCTGATTTTTAAAGGACTTCTGTGCTCCCACACAGCGAGCAGCGGTTATGCGTAAAACCCTGAATGTAGCGTATCCAACATGTTCTGAGCCATCAGTAGATGTATTTCAGCAGATCTGCGGGGGTGATTTATGATCTAATGGCAGTGAAAGGGTGTTAATTTCATGGCCAACAGGTTTTCAACCTGTACACTCTGAAAGCCACCGGACTAAAGCTAAAAATAGACCCGCAGTCTGGCTCCTTGTAATGACACAGTCTACTCCTGCTGGCCTGCTGCTGCTGCTGCTCAGCAGATTTTATTAAACATTACAACACATCGGGGATTTCCTAACCCGTGTTTTAGGCCACTCATATCTATTTAAGCCATTTAAATTGCAGGTGCTTGAAAGCCTTTCATTTAAGTGTTTTCCAGGTTTGGAAAGCACTTCATTTCTGTATAAAATTCTTAAAAGTACTTGATAATCAAACTGCAGTTTTGATTGACAGCCTAAATATGGAACACATTATTTACTGTTAAATCCAAATATTATAATAGATCTAATAAAAAGACAAACATATTTTTTTCTCCTTAATTGGTCGCATCAATATTATAAAAATGGGATTTGACAGTTATGGGGATAACAGGAATGATGACGGCCTGTGGAATTAATAATGAAGACTTTTTGAATCGATGACACTCCATTTGTTTACATTGTGAAGGAGGAAGTGAGTTTTTGTGTCGTTTTCTTCAGTGGTTCTTTCTGCAGCGCCCCCACAGGCAAGGAGGGGAACAGATTGTTCAAATCTGTTTGGTTCACATTGTGAAAGTTAACCAAAGCAGATAAAAATGTCACAAATGTTGCAATTTTGTTAATGCGGAAATTATGTTTTGTCTTCTTCCTGTGTTTAATTTTCCCCAATGTTGTATAAAAATGATATTTACATTTTAATGGATCATACAATTTCACTCTTTGATCAGGGAGAGTCCAACAGAGCAAGCAGGTGTATTGTTTTCTGTGTGTTTGGGACCTGAAATGTTTTTAATTCACCACTCAGAGGTCTGTTCTTCCTTTGAGCTTCAAAGCTCCACTTTCACATCCCTGTTAGGAGATCAAACCAGATCCACCACTCTGGGCCGAGTGCTCACGCTCTCAGCAGCAGGATGACTAAGGGGGAAACTCTGCAGAGAAAATTGTGTCTAATATTTTTTTTTCTTTGCATTATTGTTAGAGCATCATTATTTCTTCAAAGTCCAACAGAAATCACAGTTTTTATTTGCTACTTTTGATTTAGATAATATTTATCCTTTGTTATTGCACTTTTAGACAGAAGTGGACTCCTTAGTGCGACTCACAGCAATTTACCCCCCTAGTATGTTTGAATAAAAGTCACTGGATGATTGTGATTTTAACTTTCTATAAAATCAAAGAGAACTTTATCGACACCACAATGATGGTCAAAATAAGACAGGACAATAAATCAACTATATATATTGCAATAGACATGTGATCAGTATCCATAAATAAAACAGAAATATATAGAATATTCCCTGAACTTTGTTCCAGAACCACCCAGCATTCTGGAAGATGTAGATATCTGTTCAACCTCTCAGCTAGCTAAGAAAAGTTGGTGGCATCAACTAACTGGCTCAAACTTTGGTTACCTAGCAACAGCCTGTTGAGTAACTGGTGCAGCAGCAGTTTCAAGTTTCCCCACTGTGCCTCAGAGCTGTTTAAACATGAAAAGAGAGAGTGAAAAATGGAAAAACAGGAAAGAATGCGGAATATCAGATATCTAAAACAAAAACTAATTAATAATTATCGATATCGACTGATATGAAATGCTTTTAATGTGATGCTTTTTTCAGCCTTAAGTTAAAACTTTGCAGATAAACCCAGAACTTGTGTCTGAAAAAGAGCAAACCTTACATTGCTTATTGAAACTGTTGGTCAAATGAAAAAAAAAATTGCACATGTTTTGCAACATAAATACCAGAAAAATGTTCAATTTTTGCAATCAAAGTTTCGATTCTACTGTATTTGATGGTTTCAGACAACACAGATGTGAGTGTGACATAATTTCTGTGCAGGGGAGCTTGTGAGCAGCAGCTTTAATCTGTCGTCACGTGAACATCACTTTGTTTTCTACTAATAGCAGCAATAGCTTGTCGTCTCAAAAGCTTCCTAATTGGGAAAAGCATTTTAACAGCTTTAGATTATGCACAATGCTTCCCGCACTTCATTTCATTTAAAAAAAGAGGAAAGCTTTAAATTTGAGTCTTTTTTCTTTGTAATTCATCTCCTGGCACAATGCAGCTGTGTCCGCTAGGTTTCAGCCCTGCTTAAGGCATTAGCTCAGAGCGATTATCCCACCGTCACCAGCAGCACGCATCCCCTCATACAATCACTCCAGCTGACACGTGTCTGACATCTGCCCCGCTTTCTGCCTCCCCGTCGCAGGGATTCAGACCTCCATACGAACCGAGATGTGTGTCACACCTTTCACGGCTGTACTGCTTTATTTCTTGCTGACATACTTTAATGTTGACATCTTGTTTTAGTTCTGTTTTGGAAAATTGGTCAAGTCTTTGCCTTTCTGGATAGTTTCTGCCTTTTGAAAGTCACTAAACCTGAAAGCAGAAGTTTTTTCGTTGTTAAACTGCGTAAATTGGTCCTTAAAGCAACTTTGTTGTATGTAACTTTTATAAGGAATATATTTTTTTACATATTTGTTGAAATGTCACTCCTTCATAATAGTATGGTATGAGACAATAGCAGATGAGAAATACACATTTTTTGTTTGTTTTAAATGCAGACACAGATCTCGTAGACTGAACTCTGTGAATGCCCTTTCCCGCTCGCTTGGTGAAAGCCCAACCCTTCAGGTTTTGGCTGGACGCTGTTGGCACGCCACCAATCAGGTCGCCATCAGGTTTTCAGTGACGCTTTGCAGGACTCGTGACACACAAGGCGCTTTGTGCCGACAGCCTGAGAGACATGACCTGATGCAGGTCAAAATGTTTTATTTTATTTTATTGAGCATATTTGTAGGGCTGGACGACACGGCTGAAAAACATATCATGAAATAAGCATATCAATCAATAACTATTGACCAGTTTTTGTTTTATTTGTTTTGAATATCTGAAATGCTGCCACAGTTTTCACTCCATATTATTGTTTCATTTGAAGCAGTTAAACAACTTTTAACAGTGATCTGTTAAAAACCTTAAACTCCTGCAAGTTACTCCACAGGGTGTAAATCACAGGTAACCAAATGAGTGAGTTAGTCGATTCCACCGTTGTTGTAAGGATTGGATGATCAATAGGTTTTTTTTTCCAGTTAAGAGGTTCATATTATGGCCAAAGACATTATTGTTTCTAAAGTTCTGTAATATGTCTCTGAGCTGTAGCATTTGGGTGTAAATTTCAAATTCAGGCATAATTCAATGTTCAATGTGTGTGAGTGATGTAGAAATGATTTATCTTTCTTGCTCAAATATTTTAAGACGTAATCAGTAGCTTGCACAAGTAGAATATTGTAATGTATTTTGCATAATCTAAATAGAAAGCTGCGGGCCTTTTGTCAGAAAAGTTCTCTGATTACTGAATTTGATTGAAGTGTTTTGATGATTAGCATTAAGATCAATTGTTTTTCTTTGCTTCTCATCATTTGTTCAGATAGGATTTTGTATATTTTCAGGTGAAATAATGCAATGCACTCTCTTGAAAGTCTTATTTTATCTTGTGGCATGATTAATCTTGATTAGTTTTTAATCGGCTCCTTTTGTCTGTAAGAACAATTTATCAATGTTTCAATTTTTCATTGTTTCTCTTCTAGTAATAGAAAAAAAACTTTAAAATTAATTAATTAAAAAAAAATCTTTTTGTTGACTTTATGGAAGATGATTGTAGGAATAAGATTTTTGTAAATTGTATTTTTTATATTGTGGAGCAGCTAGCTTAATTGGTAACATTGAGTCAAAGTTGCCATTTTGATGCTGAGCAAAATACATTTTATTTTTCACATTTTATGGCTAGGTTTTCCATAAAAGCAAACAATAATGAAATGTTATGCTAACTAAACTAGCGGAACATAAACATTAACTTTAATTTAATAAAAAATAGAGAAAATAACAACAAAAACATTTAACTGTCAAGTGTTAGCCGTTAGCGCTACCAGTATTAGCTTAAGTTTTAGATTAGCAAAAAAAGATGGTTCCAGAGGGAACTGGCTGCTGTCCCAGGACATTTCTGAAACCCAATTGGTTTATATGTCACTTTATATAAATAGTATTGATATTATTTGTACTATTTATTTATCTTATTTTTAAGTTTGTCATGGACTGACTGGGAGAATATTTACTTTATTCCCTTTAATTTTCTTTATTAAATAAATAAATTTCCTGCTGCCACTGGACAATTGACGAACATTTATCAAATGTGAGGCAACATTTATCAAAATAAATTCTGTTTGATTTTATTAGGCTACATAAAAATTCAAAAACATTCATAATTAAATTTTTCTAAGTTAAAATGTGAAATGTTGCAAAGATAAATATTTCTTGTGATGAGAAACGCTTAAAACTGACGAAAAAGTATGTTTTCTCTTTTACACGTTGACTAACTCAAAGTTTCTCCTCCTTTTTTCAGTGAAGAAAGCCAAACTTCATGGGCCACCAGGTAAGAACCCATTCAAGCCTTTATTCACATGAATGAGTAAACACATTACCTTCACAGGAAGCCTCAAACTACCACAGGATTGGACATTAAATACATTCACAGGCTATTTTATTTGGTAAATCTTGTTTTTCCCACAAAACTGCATTAATTCATAGAGTCGTGACATTTTCAGAAACACTCTTCAAACGTTTTGGTCTATATTTACCTAATGACATGATGCAGTGGAAGAAGAACTGCGCTATAAAAACAATCCAATGAAAAGTGGGATTTCAGACAGTTTTTGGCACATTAAAATGCTGAAGATCTTAAGATTTGGGAAAATTATGTTTGCAGTCTTAATAATCAATTATATTTCTGTCGTGTGTGGTTTCTATTTCTATTTTGTTTGTCTTATTTTGAATATTTAAAAACTCTTCCAGTTCCAGTGTTAATTAACTGCTACAAAATTATGTATCACTTGAAAAAGTTCTCAAAACAACAGATCACAATAATGACTGAGAGAATGTATCCTACAGCAAAATTAGCTAGTGACAAAACAAAACTATACCTAAGATTGTGTTTTAGTTCTGCGCAGTGTTGACGTTCAGCAAACATGCCATTCTGGCACAAGCTGTGACCTTTTGTGATTCAATAGTATAATGTCTAAAGACTTATTGCATTATATATATTTTAGACCTCGCTTTCAACAAGAAATCGAAGTCCAGCTGTGTCGCAGTTGGATTTCCAACCAGCCAAAGTGTTAGTCATGTTATGCAATCTGCTTTTCTACCAATGAAGTCCATTTTTACTAGCCATGTAAGACGCATGAAGATAATTCAAACTGTTTTAAGAAGAGATGCAAGAATGATCCCCTCTTTCCAGCCACTTTTTGTCTTAAACGTCTCTCTAGGCTGCAGCTGTTTGTCCCTTCCACTTCTCTGCAGGCGGTGATGAGGGGAGAACAATGGGAATGAGTGGAAGAATAAGAAATCAAGCTGACGGAGGAGGGAAGGAAAATCAATAGATCATCACAGACAAAGGGCCACCTGCTAGCCTGAGATGACAATGTGCCATTCATTTATAGAGAAAAATCTTTCAAGCTCTTTTGGAGACTCTGACAAACTCACAGCACAGAGATGAGCAGTTTTAAGGAGAGGAAATAAGGACAATTTTTGGTGGATCAAAGGAATTTGTGTCATATCTTTATTATTTAATGGAAAAAGCTGTGTCCAATTTGACATTTTGAAAATAAATTAGCTTAACGGCAATTTAGAAAAAACCTGTTTTCAATAAGTTTTGGAACTAGGATGAAGTAGTGTTGAAATTGATTTAGTTTGCAGAACTGCAATGGAAACATTTTTTTTCACATCAAACAAGTGACATGATCAACAACAGGATGTTACTACTGCCAGAAACTACAAAGCAGATGACGACAGGAAGTGGTTGGGGGATGATGGCACAGAATAGTTTTTAATGACTTATTGCATGAAAAAAGGTATTCACATGTGAATTTTAATTGTGTTTATCATGTAATTGAAACACAGCAATTGCAAAATTGTGAGATGTGGGGGGCTTCACATTAGTGAAAAAATACACATTTTTTTGCACATTTGTAATGGAAACTCATATACTGATGCTGAAAAGTTGACTTATTTTTAAGTGAACATATTCATATGTGATTTTAATAGTGTTTTTTCTGGCAAAACTACAAATTCAAAATTGTGATTTTTTTTATATTAGCAGAATAAAACAGCATTTTGCACATATTTGTAATAAAAAATCCGGTGCTGATGGTGAAAAGTGGACTTGAATGACTGAAAATGCAGACATTTGTGCAGAAAAAACATTATTTTGTATAAATTAAAATAATTTGGTGTTTGCTTTTACAGCAACTGGAACAAGAAACTTATTTTTATACTTTTCCAGGTTGGCCATCTTGCACCATGATGCGCTCTTTCAGAGTGAGGATAACAAGCTGCGTCTGAGTGGGGTCAAGGGTCATCAAATACAAAACTGATTGAGCTACATGAAACACCTGAGTGCTTTTAAGTCAGCCTTAGTTTTTATAAATCAACAGCTTTCCAGACATAATGGGGAAACTTCAGTTCTCTGAAAACTTGACCTATTTACAGAATCTGTTTTTCCTTGGGGCTGCGATGTCCGGCGATGTGACCAATAAATCTTTTACCCAGGATGCCACTTTGTCAGGTGACACAGTTATTCGTTTCAGGTCAAGGAAAAATTTGTCGTGTTTGTGCCGCTCTAATGCCCCAGTTTGGAAACATGCTCTGATTTATGCTTAATAGTAAGAAGCACTGGATTTATTCCCAGAGGGAACTGGCTGCTGTCCCAGGACATTTCTGAAACCCGATTGGTTTATATGTCACTTTATCATCCAGATTTTAAAGCATTTCCTCCACTTTTGGGTTACAGTGACAAGACTATGTATTTTACTAGGTATTTCATGTGATAAATCATCACAAAATGGTAAATAAAAGCTAGCAGAAAGAGGAAAAAGACTCATTAAAGTTTAAAAATAGAGAAATTTTATTTATAGAAGCTTCATAATCCATTTAATTTAAGATTTCTATTGTGTGTGGTTCTTATGTCTGTTTTATTTATTGTTCTTTTTGGGTTTTATTTTGAATATTTAGGATATCTTTCACAGTTGCAAAAACGTTATTTGCTTAAAATGTATCGGTCTTTAAGAGGGAAAAGTTGCATTATTATGCCATTGTCGATATATAGCTTGAAAAAGGTCAACATTATCATTCATCGCAATAATTATTGGGACAATTCATCAGCATCCAAAATTCAATATTGTGACCAGCCTAGGTCCTACAACGACTGATTATTGTCATTGTTGATAGGACAAATAAATAAATAAAATTTAATTTCCACCAAAAAACTGAACTTTTGAGATTAGTAGGGCTGTTATAAAATAATATTTTAGTAATCGGTACTTTATAGATTACTTTTAATCTCAAAATTAATCACCAAAATTTCTTATTGTGACAGGTCCAACCTGTTTAGTCTGATTTATTCAAACTCCAGTTTGTTTGTCTAAAACAAACTCTCCACCTAAAAACCTCAGTCTCGCTTCAGTCGAAGTAAACTCTGCTTCGGTTCAATTGCATTAAAATCCACTCCAAATGCAGGAAGCATCATAAACAAATAGAGCCAAAACAAACATGCTAGTCCATTGCTAATGGAGAAATGGCTTGTTGTCTTTTATCAGCGACAAGAGAAAACCTCTAAAATCCTATGCTATTCCATTTTTGTTTACATTTTGTGTTTTGTGTGGTTTCTTTCAGTGTTTCTTAATGCGGTGCCCCCACAGGTGATGAGGTGATCATTTCATTCAGTGCAGTGTGAAAGAGAACTGCAGCAGCAAATTTTGCAATTTTGATCCTCAATCAAACCAAATCTATCAGAATATGAGGTATTAAAACACCTTAATCTCACTATAAATCCAGCTGTATTTGGAACAGATCTTCCAGAAACTATCTTTGTTGATTTTTTAAAATACTGGTTCAAGTTTCAGTGAAACATTTCCATACAATCCTCACAGACTTGAAGTTTTTCCTATTGAGAGCAAGTGTGAAGTGACAATAGATTGGATTTGTTAGGGATTTCTTTTAAGCTAATAAAATAAATCCTAAATATCTGCACCACATAGTGTTATATCACTTATTTTGTGCAGCGAATTGTAGGCAAAATCTGTCACATTTCCTGTCATGTCGTAGTTATACCTGCAGAATAATGAATGCAGAGGAGTCGCTAAGGCTTTAATGAAGGGAGAGTGTTGGAGTAATGAGGCGGCCTTCGCTGACACAGCCTGAACTGTTGTGCTGAATGTCTTTTAGCAATTTCTTCTGAGTCAGTTTACTTCATTCAGGAACTGTGTGGCCATTTTGGACATCTATTTTCTTGTAATTACTAAAAAAGTTCTATTGCACTTCACTGTAAGACAAAAAATACACAAAACTCAGACGGTGTTTGAACAGATATAAATGGAAAAATAGATAAAATTCAAGTTGTTTTTATATTATTATGCTGAATTACACAGTTGCAAAATCGTTATTTGCTTAGAGTTTATTTTAACCAATCCCACAGTATTTTGCACAAATTGTGATGAAAAAATATTTATTGCTTATTTGACTCCATAGCTGTGACTTAATGGTACAGCATTTAACACCAATATTGTTCTTTAAAAATATTACCATTAGAAATAGATTTCTTCAGGATGCCACATACTTAAAAAATAATAGTAATTTATATTACTAAACTGAACACAGTAGCTGCATTTAATCATATTTTTGAATTTATTGATAATTATTGATGCTTTTATGAAACAAACAGTGAAGAAAATGGCAAAAAAAATTAATAATCGTGTCAGTTTTTTTTTTTTTACTTACCATCAAGAACTTCAATTTATCATGATGATAAATCTAAAATTTTATTCATAGGAAATTCTTTATGATAAGCAAGAAATGGTACGATAAATGTCCACCTCTATGAATGCAAATTGTTGAAATTCACAAATACTTCAGTTGCTCTAAAAACACTTAATATGGTTCCTTTTAACAGTTCAAACACCAGATACACCTTCATAAGCACCAGTATGCTCAGTGGAAACCATCTTGGTGCTACCACAGGAGCTAACATCCACGGTCTTCCTTGTCTCCAGTCTTGTGGGTTCAGCCAATCAGTGCCAAAGAACGGTGAATACCGCTCCTGGATTGGCTGCTTTGTAACGCCAGCCAATAGTTCTCGTGACATCACACTTTTGGGGAACTTTAGTTGACAGCCATCTTGGTAGGCGTTTGTAACTAACTATCATGACTCTTGCTATGGAGTTGCTATGATAACAATAAACCAGCCACCGTTTTAGAACTGGCTCTCACTTCATTCCTAACTTATAAACAATTTAAGTACATTACAACAATTTCTGAGTACTCTACCCACTTCTGTGCAATACAAAAAATGATATTTCTTCCACATTGGTCAAAAATGTCAGTATTCTTTATTTTTGTTGGTCTGGAAGCCATGGTTCATCTTTGCTTTACGCTCCACTTGCCTACCAAGATGGCGCTAATCCAGTTCAGACTTGTGGAAGTTATGTATTGTCAAGCAGCATTGAGTCATGGTATTTCTGTGTCCCAAGCTACATTTTCTCTAGAATATTTTTAAAAATCCAAATAATTTTTTCATTTTTTGCAAGTGATTTGGAGTTACCTTTGGATTCCTTGCATGTGATGGCTCCTGTGTGATTCCCTTTACTTTAATTTCAGTATGCAAATATTAATTAGACACAACTAAATGGGAATGAAACAGGGAACATCTTGTCCTTCTTCTGTTGAACAATAAACAGATTTGGATGTTTTTATCCCTTCTTCATCTCCAAAACCTCTCCGATCCCCCTCGGTGCCCATAATAGAGTATTCATTACTGTAGACAGCCCAGTAAATGTCATCTCGTCCAGCCGCGCCGCGCACGTCCATGCGTAACTGAATATAACTTATTCATTTTCATAAGTCATTGCCGGTTAATTATAAATGATGCCGGATGCTCTCCCAAGAAGGCCCTGCTGCATGCTGGGATATGTTCTCCCCAAGCTCGTCTGCTTGTGACGTGTTTCTGTGAGTTTTGCACAAGAACGTTAATGGACATTTGCGTCGTCCTGATTGTGACTTTAACAACTTGCAGGCAACAGATGCGGGATTGCTAATGGTCTCTCCGCTGTGTTTTTGTTTCTCAGTGGGTTATTTTTGCTTACAGTCATGACCCTATATATTTTTCTCACTTGTGCTAGCAGTCAGTTAATGGAGCTGTCTGCAGCCTGGCCCCAAGAATCACAGACATGGAGACTGTGTAAAGTGAATGATGGATTGTCTCAGCTTAACTCACTCAGAATCAGAAAGAAAAGTCATTCTATGATGCAGAAAGACCAACTCAACAGAACCAGTGGAGTCTTTATGATTTATAGGTTTGGTAAACTAAAAATCTTCTTTCATTTTCTGTCATAATTTTATAAGGATAACAGCTACAATTAGATTAAATTGAAATTTAATCTAATAGATTGTAGATTAGATTCAATTTAATCTAATCTACAATTAGATTAAATTGAAATTTAATCTAATTGTAGATTAAATTGAAACTCATTTACTTGAGTTTCTTTTTGGGGAAAACCCCCCCCAAACTTTTAAGAATATTTTTATGACACTGTTCTTTTTACTTTTACTTAAGTAATTTTATTATGAAGGATTTCTACTCTTACTTGAGTACCGGTTTTGTGTTCTTTGCCCACCCCTTAACTAATTAACTTAACTGAATAACTAATAATGGCCATTATCAGTTTAGTGTTGTAGTGTTGCCGCCATCCAACAGAGGGCGCCGCTGTTCATCCAGAAGCCGATCCGTTACAGAAACAAAATGGCGGCGGCGCCACTTCAGACGAAGAAAGAGGAAAGGTCCAATTCGAATCCGGTGTGGAATAATAAATGCCTTTAAGCGGTTCTGTTTAAACACTCGATAAACTGCTTAAGTTTTCACATCAATAGCCCTGATTCCGTCGGGATGCTTCATGGCGGAAACGTGTCAATATCGCGACAAAAAGATTTGCTATGAAGGTGAGGCTAAAGCGGCTGAGTTAGCGCAGAGAAGGTACAATTAATATTCATTCAAAATTAACCACTGGTGGGACTTATCCATGAACATTTTTCGGTTCTTGGGAAATATTTCACTTCTCATGAACATAAGAAAATATTTTACACCTATCCAACAACCTGAAAATGTAGCACTTCATGTTGTGGAAAGATGGCCATCTTCATACAGCAGGGCCTCTTCTCAATTAGTTGTTAGTTGATCAATAAGAATTAAGATGACTCAACTTTCATCAGTTGCATCCTTAATAACAGTCGATCCGTAGAAAATGCCAGTTCTTGCATTGAATTTTCTTTTATAGTTTATAGTACATACAGCAGAAATCTTAACAAAACAACACAGAATAACAACACCTAAATCAGCTATATTAGAAGATCCTTTATGGATTCTTGTTTTGTTCTTTTTGCAATGGTTTTTAGCTGTTTCAGATCCTTTTATGTTGTTTTCTTCATGCCTCTGTAGATTCACTCTCTAAAAGCTGTCGCTGTAACAGCACTGCAGACATGCATCAACAGGCAGCTCTGAGAGAAATAAATACATTTGATGTTGGAGGAAAAGTTAAGGCACAAACATGCTCTGCTTTTTCTCCAGACCATTTTTTTCTTCAAAAGCAGTTGGTAATCAGAGGTTTGGCCATTTGATTAATTTATTTTTAATATTTTTTTTTAAGTTCTGGCTTCCTCCCACAGTCCAAAAACATGAGCAAAAACAGACAGCAAGAGAATGGATGGATGGATATTTTTTTAAAGCGTCAATACAAATTTTCACTGTGAATATACTAGTTATATGATAATATGTGTTTAACAATTCATACGGAATAAGCGAAAACAGACAGCAAGAGAATGAATGGATGGATAATCAGATGAATGGATGAACAAATGAAAGAATAAGTAGATGGATGAATATATAGATAAAAGGATGGATGGATAAGTGGGGTGGAAAGATGGACAAATTAATAGACTTATGGATGGTGGAGAGATGAATTAGTGGATGGATACATATGTAAATGTTTGGGTGGAAAGATTTATAAATAGATGGATTATTTCATATATTTCCATCCTGTTTTTTTTTTCTTTATTCAGACGTGAAAAATACTTGAACTGAAAAACAGTAACATCTAATATTGGAAATTGATTTGATCTGAAGAGAGTTTTATTTTATTGTGTAACAAAATGAAAGATTTTACATCATTTCATCAAAAATCCCCCAGTTTATAGTACATACAAGGAGAAACCTTCATTTTAATCTGGGATTTTCTGAATATTTTCTGGAATTAAAGATAAACATTTAAAATAACATTTAGCTTTTCTCGTAGCTTTCATGTCTGGCCCCCAAAATACTTGAGTTTCTAACTTTCCATTTTTTCTGTTTTTTCCAGACAAATTCAACGCCTACGTCACGTTAAAGGTCCAGAATGTGAAGAGTACAACCATTACAGTCCGTGGAGATCAGCCATGCTGGGAGCAGGACTTCATGTTGTAAGTAAAGTACTTGCAGTTTAATATTTACAAAAGTATTTAAACCACTCAAACCTTTCCGCTCTTTGCCACATTCTAACCACAAGCATCTGTGGTTTTCAATTGGATTTCATGTGACAGACAAACATAAAGGAGTGCAGGAATGGGAAGCAGAAGACCTTTGTATTCAGAAAGAAAAACAGAGTTAAAATATAAAAGCCCATGAAATGCATAAAGTAGCTTTACAAAATTAAAGTGTCACAAAATTAAACAGTTATTAAATGGATAAAGAATGAAATAAAAAGATTTCATGTGGCATACTTACAGACAAAGGTGTTTTTATCTTGAATTCAAAGTGTAGATATATTTTGTACAGTTTTGGTTTTAATATGTTGAGTTTTTTTCATCAAGTTAGTCTGTATTCTCCAATTAATGATTAATCAATTATTAAATTATTTGATGATTATTTAAAAAAAAAATCAATTAATCCGGTTATTCACTTCAGCCCTATTTAAAACCTAAATTCATTTATTTTCATTTGGATCGTCGCTTTGCTTAATTTTTCTGCCATTTAAAAAAAAAAAAATTTTGCAAACTGCGTAGCGGCAGTAACGGCTTGTTCGCTGCCAAACCCCTGGCATGTATTAAGACAAATGCAGAGAGAAACTGGTGCCTCAGATGCTGTGGCAGCCAGCCGATGAATGCAGGTAGCCATTGCAAGCTGACTTGTTATCTGGTCTTAATGGGCCTCTGTGGCATTGAAAGTGGTGCACAGCAGCGGCCTGTGGGACTCCAGTCTGGCTGGCTGACACGGCCTCCTAAATGGGAATTTGGGCAGAAGCAGGTTGGATGGATGGAAAGTGAAATTACCTGCCAGATAAGTGGATGAGCCAGTTAGAAATCTAATGAATTGTCCAGCCCATCCAGATTCCAGAGGGCATGGAGGTAAAGATGCACCTGATTTAGAAATCTTCTGGGTTTGTACGTTCTGTTGTACGTGGTGATGTTTGAATCAATGTGTGAGGAGGAAATCAGCAATTTATATGTGGAAGCATTGTCTGATGGGCAAAACATCCCGGTTGGGTGGTTTGAATGGCATCCCATAATTAGTTTTTTTAACTGTCTTGCATCTTTTTGGCACATTTGGCAGCTGTGCAGAGAAACACTGATGGCAAAATGAGGTTTTGTGATTTTTCAACGAGCAAAAAGGCGCATCTGAAGAGTAGAAAAATTCAGATTTAATTTGGAAAATCTCATAATTTCACAAGTAATGATTGTGCCACCGGTACTAGCAGACCGGCTGCTAATTTCTCTCCAAGCCGACTGTGCCAACAAGACTACAATATGACAGAGAGGGGTTCGTCTGCTCTTCTGCTCACAGATTTTCTTATTGCAGTGTTCAGAGTACGGAAGACAAGTAGGGCCACTGGGGAAAAAAAGAGAAGAATTCTTTAATCTTTTTTCTCAGAATTATGACATTAATTCTGAAAAAAGAGATCAAAAGTCGGAATTCTATGATGAAAGTCCAAATTATGAGAAAAAAGTTAGAATTCCACAAGAATTATGAGAAAATATAATTGTTTCTGAAAAAAGTCAGGATTCTACAATTAAAGTCGGGATTGTGAGAAAAAAAGTTGGAATTCTATAAGATTTATGCAAAAGCAATTTTTTCTGAAAAAAGTCAGTATTTCACAATTAAAGTCAAAATTGATTAAAATCAGAATTCTTGCTTTTTCTTATTTTTTTTTAAATATTATATTAAAAAGTAAATGATTGATAACTTATTTTAAAGGGACACTGTTAGGAAGCACCAGTGATTTTCCTTGAAAAATATCAAACCTTACTGTTTTTTTCCACTGCATAGATAAACGTACTAAAATTAAAGGTTTGTCAAAATAAAATTCCAAAAGAGATTGTACTGCTGCAGTCAAAGTGCTGTTGTTCATGAGTAATTCTTTAAATCATACTAAAAACAAAAAATGTGAAGTTTCAGGTTTGTGACTGACTTAAACTGAATTAAATTCAATGACGCTGCAGACTGAATTAGATCTTACTCCACAGAGCCGCATCATGATGACCAAATCATTTCTCAGTCTGGCTGCTGTGGTGCAGTACCTCACGCTGCAGTTCATTGTAAAGCTGTTCTCGGTTCTGTGTTTTATCTTTTTTATCAATATTAAGGAATCATTGGCTTAAAACAAGCTCTGTCTTGCTGAAAAGTTACCTATAAGCTGATTTTGTCTCATTTCAAGCATGCTAAGAAATTTGCACTAGAAATGGAACAGAAGGTCTTAATAAGACTTTGTGTTTTTGCAGTATAGAAGTGACTGATCTAAGATCACAGATGTATAAGTTTTATTTTAATTTAAAAACAACTAGGGATATATTTAGATGTTTGGGGAGAAGCTCTTCTGATTATTGATCGGTTTGTCTGATGTTTCGGGTCATCGCCTACTCTTTCCTTCAATTAAGGTCTGCTCAAGTATCAACAAATTGTGACCTTTTTCCTTCTAACTGCATCAGCCTGTATTAAGTGTTTGAGGAGTGACTTTATCAAATTACAACAACAGGACTGATTAACGTCTGTCTGTTGGAAACCTTTTCCTCCTCCGCCTGTCCTCCTTCATTTTGCTTCTCTCTGATTTTGAGCCGCAAAGTTTCTTACATCTGGATGTTTAAATAAGTCAAAATAGTTGGGTGCTATGTATTGTATTTTATAAATGAAATTCATGGTTTATCATCATGTTGTTTGCAAAAAGAAAGAATTAGATTTATGCCAAAAAAACTGAGAAAGTTTGAGATTGTCTGAAGTTTTCTTGAAAAAATTTCTGAGTTTAAAAAGTTGAACATTTGCCAGTAGAAATTTTGAGAATAAATTCAGAACTTACAAAAAAACTTGTAAATTTCCGTTTAAAATTTCCAAAATTTTCAACTTTAAAATTTCATTTCTTAAACATTTCTGAGATTAATCTAAAAATGTCTGATTTTTTGGCAGAAATCTATGCAACAAAGCCTGTCACGACAACAAATTGTTTTATTATTGTAAAACACAATATGTCTTTGACAAAGAAGATATACCGTCTGGGACAATAAGGGATATTATTATTGTCATTGAGACCATTTTCAATAAACACATTGATAAAAACACACGTTTGCTCCCTCAACAACCAAAAAACGTTCACTTTATAAAGAAAAAACACTTGAAGTGTTAAATAAAACAGAAACAACTTCATGCAAGCAAAACTATAAATAAAATAAAATAATCAATCTCATTTTAACTGATTAGATACTGTTACAGGAAATGGGTAAAACTGGCTATTTTATTGATGAGTTTACATGTGGGCATTAAAAACCAATCTCATACATAAATCTAACTCCACTAAAGAGGACTATCGACTTCAGCTTTAGTTTGTGCGAACCGCTTTCTTAAAACCATTTTCATTTGGGAGGAATGAAAATCATTCTGTGTAGATATTATTGATTTAATTAAGAATATTGATGGAATCAGTTAACACAGTGACACAGGGTTGGGTGTTGTATGTATGGACTCTAAGGTTTAAACAGACATAAGTGCTGAAATATTGATGTTCATGTCAAGATCAAACCTACCCAACAAGACTGAAGACATAAAAAGAGCATTGCCAAGCAGAAAATGCTGTTTTCTTGTTCTGGATCCTGAAACCGTGTGTGTTTGTGCAAAGCTTTCCCTGCAGGAACATGTTTGAATCTGTATTTCACCGCTGACTTCACAGATCTCCCGTCTGTCGGCTCTCAATCTCTGCACAAACACTCACAGTGTCCTTCTGGGTGTTTAAAAATGCACCGATTCTGACTGTTTTCACCAGAGATGCAACTCAGGCACATCATTCATAGACACCAGACATGTTTTTAATCATAAAACTGCATAATCCCATAGATTAAACTGAGTCACTAATAACAACTGTATTCTTTCTTCCCATTTCCCTTCCTTTAAACCAGCAGACACAGACTGTCATCTTATGTAATGCAAGATTAAAGCAGCTCACCTTGGCCAAAATGTCATTTTTAACTGCTTATAAATTAGATTTTTGATTTAAGTTTCAAATTTAGCTGAAAAATTGTAAAATTACAGGTACATGTCACATTTATATAATAATGCTTTCTTAATAATTGTTAAAACTATGATGAAACTTTAAACTGCTGCTGCGCAAGCTACTCAACATGCAGTAACATTCCATTATCAGTATATTACTTGAAAATGGTCTAAAAAAAAACCATCATTTTTTATTGCAATAATTATTGGAACAATTTATCGTCATCCAAAATTCAATATCATTTCGAGTTTTTCTGAAAAAATTCTGAGTTAATCAGCAAAATTCTTATAGTGACAGGCCTAACGAAAGCCCTGTTTAGTCCGCTTTAATCAAAATCCAGTTTGTTTGCTTAGAAAGTCCGGTTGTTTATGGATGTGTGAATGCGTAACCAAACGCTGATGTGAACCAAAAAAGCAAACCTGTGGTGAGGTTTGGATGAATATGTGAACACCAAGCGGACCGGAGACTGCTCCAAAAGCAGGAAGTGAACCACAACACAGGGCATTCTGGGTAAATACAACCATAACAAACGTACAAGTCAAGCGCTTGCGGCAGAAATGGCTTGTGGTGTTTTTCCCCAAAGACGAGAGAAATCCTACAAAACGCTGAAATCTGACGCTATTCTATTTTTGTTAACATTTTATGAAAAAAGAAGTTGTGGTCTGTTTTCTTTAGAGGTAATTCTTGGTGCAGTGCCACCACAGGTGAGGAGGGGAACAGATTTTTGAATTAGTTTGAATATTAAATCGAACTGCAGCAGCTGAAAATGTAGAGAAATATTGCAATTTTGGCCTCCAAATAATTTGAGCCATGAGATATTTCATGATATTTGTCCCCCATAAGGCCAGAAAATCTCCTTAACTGGCAACTTAAACAGCATATACACAAATTAGTTTCTCCCACCCACTGTCTCTCCATCATCTGAGCTACTGAGAGTCATCGGAGATGATTGACAGGCAAACTGAGGCGACATGAATGTGAATGAGGATGTGAATATGAATATGCAGATGAGCAGGGGAAACAGTTGGCTTCTATTTCTCTTTAGAGAAAATGACAGCTGTCATTTTGGCACTTATTGTTTTGGCACAAAAACTGGTGAACCTTGTGACCTTAAGGGGGAAGAAGATTGGTGCCGGACTGAAAAATAAAAATAAATCCCATCTTAGACCAGATGTTTGCTTTCTTTTGATTGGTTGTGATTTTAACATGAGATCCACTACATTTAGGTGGTTTTGAAAACGGTCCTTTCACTTAGTGCAACGCACAAGTACTACTTGTAGGTTGTTTATACCGTGTTTGTGGTGAGTTATATATAAAATTCATAGATGAAGGAGTATTAACTTGAAGGTTAAAAGCAATTTGTCTTGTTTTGGATTACCTTAGGTACGGTTACTGACAGGGCAAAAAGTGCTGCAAACATATTAATGATGCCAACTCAAAAACACAATAAATAAGTGCTACAAAAAAATGCTGCAAATAACAAAAATGTTAAGTCTGAAACGCTAATAATAAAAACAAAGTCCTCCAGACCACTAGGGGGAGTCAACTAGTAAATCTGTGAGATCTGAGCCTTAATAAAGACAAGGTGCCCAAAAGGAAGTTGGAGGAAGACAAAATTCATGTTTTATACTTTTTCTTTTTACACATTTTAGAACAGCAGCATATGGACGTAGGTAAAATTATGTGCTCCATACTCCCCCTAGTGTTCTGGTGGACTTTCGTTTTGTGCAGAGAGTTTGCACTTACAGTTAGGGCCAGAAATATTTGGACAGTAACACAATTTTCGTGAGTTGGGCTCTGCATGCCATCGCATTGGATTTGAAATGAAACCGCTACAACAAAATTCAAGTGCAGATTGTAACGTTTAATTTAAAGGGTTGAACAAAAATATCTGATAGAAAATGTAGGAATTGTACACATTTGTTTACAAACACTCCACATTTTAGGAGCTCAAAAGTAATTGGACATATAAACATAACCCAAACAAAAAAGTTTTTTCTCAATATTTTGTTGCGAATCCTTTGGAGGCAATCACTGCCTTAAGTCTGGAACCCATGGACATCACCAAACGCTGGGTTTCCTCCTTCTTAATGCTTTGCCAGGCCTTTACAGCCGCAGCCTTCAGGTCTTGCTTGTTAGTGGGTCTTTCCGTCTGAAGTCTGGATTTGAGCAAGTGAAATGCATGCTCAATTGGGTTAAGATCTGGTGATTGACTTGGCCATTGCAGAATATTCTACCTTTTTGCTCTCATGAACTCCTGGGTAGCTTTGGCTGTATGCTTGGGGTCATTATCCATCTGTACTGTGAAGCGCCGTCCGATCAACTTTGCAGCATTTGGCTGAATCTGGGCTGACAGTATATCCCGGTACACTTCAGAATTCATCCGGCTACTCTTGTCTGCTGTTATGTCATCAATAAACACAAGTGACCCAGTGCCATTGAAAGCCATGCATTCCCATGCCATCACGTTGCCTCCACCATGTTTTACAGAGGATGTGGTGTGCCTTGGATCATGTGCCGTTCCCTTTCTTCTCCAAACTTTTTTCTTCCCATCATTCTGGTACAAGTTGATCTTTGTCTCATCTGTCCATAGAATACTTTTCCAGAACTGGGCTGGCTTCTTGAGGTGTTTTTGGGCAAATTTAACTCTGGCCTGTCTATTTTTGGAATTGATGAATGGTTTGCATCTACATGTGAACCCTTTGTATTTGCTTTCATGGAGTCTTCTCTTTACTGTTGACTTAGAGACAGATACACCTACTTCCCTGAGAGTGTTCTGGACTTCAGTTGATGTTGTGAACGGGTTCTTCTTCACCAAAGAAAGTATGCAGCGATCATCCACCACCGTTGTCTTCCGTGGACGCCCAGGCCTTTTTGAGTTCCCAAGCTCACCAGTCAATTCCTTTTTCCTCAGAATGTACCAGACTGTTGATTTTGCTACTCCAAGCATGTCTGCTATCTCTCTGATGGATTTTTTCTTTTTTTTCAGCCTCAGGATGTTCTGCTTCACCTCAATTGAGAGCTCCTTTGACCGCATGTTGTCTGGTCACAGCAACAGCTTCCAAATGCAAAACCACACACCTGGAAACAACCCCAGACCTTTTAACTACTTACTTGATTACAGGTTAACCAGGGAAAGGCCTTTTGAGTTACTTGCAGCCTTTAGAGTCCATTGTCCAATTACTTTTGGTCCCTTGAAAAAGAGGAGGCTCTGCATTACAGAGCTATGATTCCTAAACCCTTTCTCTGATTTGGATGTGGAAACTCTCATATTGCAGCTGGGAGTGTGCACTTTCAGCCCATACTATATATAAATTGTATTTCTGAACATATTTTTGTCAACAGCTAAAATAACAAAACCTGTGTCACTGTCCAAATATTTCTGGCCCTAACTGTAGGTTGTTTTTGTAATATTTTCCCTTTGCTCTTTTTTAATTTGGAGCATTTTTCTTGTTTGTGGTGTTTTACTGATTCCTTTATTTTCTTCCTTTTGTGTGTTTTGGGGTTTATTCATATGTTTGCAGAAGGTTTCTACGTTTGCGGCATATTAACGCCTGTCGACCATGAAGGTTATTAAGGTGTTCGTTCAAACAAACACCTTAATAAATATTTTTACTCCTTGATTAATTTAATAAGAGCAAAACATATATTTGATGACATATTCCTCTGGACTTTGCCTTTAAAAGTATCCGATCTGCTGATCTGAGAGTACAAATTGGAATATAGTGGTGAAACATTTCGACAACATAAAACGGAGCTAAATTATTAATGCAATTCAAAGCAAATCTAAAATCACTTAGTACCTCGCACAAGTACTACTGGTAGGTTGTTTATACCGTGTTTGTGGTGATAAAAGTGTCAGCTTGACTCCTTTAAATGAGTCTTTTGTCGTTGTGATCATGTGTAAAGAGTGTTTGCTGTATTTCTTTGATGCTGTTTTGTCATTTCCACAGCGAGATCAGCAATCTGGACTCGGGTCTGGTAGTGGAGCTGTGGAACAAAGGTTTGATCTGGGACACTATGATCGGCACAGCACTGATACCGCTGGACACCATCCATCAGTCTGATGAGGTAACGATTATTTAGTCAGCTATTAACCGATTATTCTGACAACTAATCGATTAGTCGGATAAACATCGAATAAACATTTTTTTCATTCAGATAAATGAGATTTTATTTACACGGAATTCCTTTAGTGAATGCCTGACCAAGAATGCATCTTGAAGTCAATATTTCAAACATAAACATGTTAAATTTCAGCCCTTTTTTGCTTGATTTAACTAGTGCAGTGTAGGGCTTATGCGTTGATTAGTTTTTGGATTAACCGATTTAATAATCGGGTAAAAAATGGTAATTAAAAGGAGATTTTTTAAAATCTATTTTTGCATAATTTAAACTTTGAAGTTAAAACTGCCAGATGAGGAGTTTTGGGTAAAACATTTTAATAAAAAAAAAAAAAAAAAACACACCTTATTTTACATTTGTAAAAATATATACCTATATAATGATGATGAATAATTAAAATCTGATTAATCGTTCCAGTTCTGGTTTCATCATTTTACTGTACAGAGACAAATCTCTGAAAGTTTTTTTTTTGCACCAGTTTTTTCTTTTCATTAAGAGTTTATAATTGATTTTTGAAAGTCTGGCTTCAGTTTGATGTTTATTTTAGGGATTTGTTACCTTTTGGTCAGAGTTTAACAATGGAGATTATTGCACTATTACAAACTAGTCTTTTCAGTTATGCAGATTAACCCCTTTTAATTTGATGAAACCATCAGGTAAAATTTAATAATATTTCCTTCTCAATAAACAAATGTAAAGCATTTTAGATCAACAATAAAATTCAAGCAGCACATTGGATATTTCTGGCCTTTAACTGTTATTATCAGTTGAGACCGATGATCATCAGGAAGAGAGAGAGACGCATTATAAGGATCAATAACTGTATTGATGCACTGATGGGAATCTGATTGCTGCTTTAAGACGCACCTAACGAAATGCAAATGAGTATTTTCATGTCTTGCTAGTTCCCATCTGTTTCTCTGAGCGTTTCCTGTTCTCCAGGAGGGACCAGGAAGTTGGACGGCTTTGGACTCGGAGGTGTTGATGAAGGAGGATCAGATCTGCGGCACCACCAACCCAACGCCGCACCAAGTGCTGCTGGACACTCGCTTTGAGCTTCCCTTTGGTGTGTATCACATCGGGCTGAAACGACTAATCACCATTAATCATGACTAATTGCGATTAAACGATTATTCAAATAGTCATCAACTAACTTAGTAGTCGATTAATCATTAAATACGGTATAAACACTCAATAAAAAGCTAAAAAAGAACACTTAGAGCTGTAATTAAGCTATAGGTATAAAAAATATACAATTTGTCTGTAAATACGTTTACAGACAAGACTCTTAAAGTGGCATAATTTCACTGTCCATCCATCCTTGTTTTTCTTCCACTTTATCCTGGGTCGGGTCGTGGGGGCAGCAGCCTAAGAAGAAAGAGGTTTTACACTGTATTGATGTTAAATCAAGCAGAAATGCCTGAGATATTCACATATCAATGGAAGTATTATTTGTTTTAGTTAAAGATACATAAAATTATCAAGCTTTCATCAGAGCTTGATCATTTTATAACCTTATGTGAATAGGTTATAAAATGTTTTTTTTGTTTAAAAATGGAAATTGTTTATTTTCACCTTTTAATATAGTTCTAATATTTTATAAAATAAGCTTAAATGAAATGTTTTTCTCCTGCTTATTGAACTGATGCTTTTATTTTAGACTTTTTAGAGAACAAAGGGACAACACAGAAAAACTGATTTATCAATAGAAAACATGGATATTGTTTTGCTATTTGGTGTGGTGCCAGAAAACATTTTAAGTTAGCTTTTGTTTTTTTATTCAAACTAGTAATAAAGAAGATTGTGGAGCAGCTGTACTGCTTGACTTGTCCAATTATTTTTATTCATAAGAGAAAAATTTAGTTCATATTCAGTGATGCAAAACCCGAGAGAGAACAGGATTTTTGCAAAAATTAAGTAATCAAATCACCAGGAATGTACAACAAGCCACTAAACTGATAAAATAAAGATTTACTGTCGTTACTTTATCATAATTACTAAGCTAAAGTAATTATAAATCCTTCGTTTCTCCTGTTTTACTTCATTTAGCTGCTCACTGCTCACAGCTGCCTGCTCTGTTTTATTCACTTTCACTTCCTGTTAAACGGTGGAACATGTGGAACTACCATTAGACTCCATTAAGTTTTAATGACGGGTTACACTTTGTTAATCTTTCACAACCTTTTCATTTTTATTTCCTGCTTTTTTTCCCAGCTATCCAAATTAAACCCTCCCTATTCTGGGATCTGTTCCGGTTTTCTTTTTCTTCTTTTACATGTTGAAACCAGATATTTACATACACTGAATCAATTTTTTTCCTCTCTGTCTGAAGCTAAATTTCACCAAACCCCTCTTGTTTTAGCTTGGCTAGATTTCACAGATAGATACAGGACACAGTGTCGTTAAGCCACTTTTTGAAACAGGTAGAGGATTTCAGTTCGCTCAGAGTAAACACAAGATCCTGCAGTAGAAACGAGAAAATGTATCTATCGGTTCATCTTTAGTTCATGTAAAGATGTGTTACATCTTGTTTGTGTTGATGTTGGAGACTACAGCTGGACATTATAAATTGTCCTGTTTTCTCTTTTTTTTAAACCTGCATTGGCTTTAGGGAAACCCTGAGCTGCTGCTGGTTAATTAGATTCTGAGGCCTGGAAAGAAAATTTCTCATTTACTAGCCATCAAAAATGCATGACTTTAAGGTTTGAACACATTGAGCTGCTTGGTTGAGAGAGTCCAGAGGATGGAGGAGAGAGAGCAGAGATCAGGATGGAGCTCCAGCCTCCATGGTCCTTCCTTTCTTTCTCCACTTGGGCTGACATAACTTCTGATTTTTCCAGGATTATTTGCTTTATTTTCTCATTTTGTTTCTCCACTCATCACTTGACATATCCCTCCTTCCCATGCCTGCCTGCGAGTCTTTCTGCTTAACTTTGTTGCTTTCCTCCATCTCCTCGGACCAGATATCCCAGAAGACGAGGCTGAGTACTGGACCAGTAAGCTGGAGCGGATCAACACCATGCAAATCCACGACGAGGTCGGTTCAATGACTGTTCACAGCTCGTAATCTGAAAACAGGCCAAACCCAGTTTCTGTACCTTGTTTTTTTTTTATTTGAAGTGGATTTGAAGTTTTATATGCATGCATTAAAGAGTAAATCTGTAGATTTCAAAGGTTGAACATGAAGCATATGCATCTTTTGTCAAGCTATATTATATGTAAACATTTGAACTATCAGATGAAGTTAACAGAATGTAAAATGTATCCAGTCATTTATTTTTTTTATTATTATTCTGTGAAGAGCTTTTCACATGAATAAATTTAAACTGTGGAGAAAATTTAAAAAAAAGTTTTATTTTTAAAAAGATAAAACTTTTTAAGGATGAGTTAAAAAGTCAAAGACCCTCAGGCAAAGAGTCTTAAAATAAAATAAAATCTCAACTACAACATAAACAGAGTTTTAATGCAATCTTTTTCCGTGTTGTCTGCTTTCTTTTTTTTGTTTAATCTTTCATTCATTTGGAAACATTTTTTACCATAAAGCATCCCTGTCTGATTTTGTCTGCTGCATTTATATGTTTCAAATATTTATGTATTTGCCTTGAAGAAATACAAAATAATTTTCATCAAATTAAAACTAAATCTAGTCGTTTTTGTTATCTATCCTTTCTGTTTGCTTTTATAAATAAAATCAAACTCAATTCTTCTGTTGAAGTTAGTTTGGCTCTCTGCTGCCACCTTGTGTCAAATAAAGGTTATAACTGGCGGGAACAACTGCAGGAATCACTTTAAAATCTTTTTATTCTTTGTTTTTTTCACCTTTCCTGTTGTATTTGCGTCTTCTTTTTCCAGTACCCTTTACAAGGAGAGGTCCAGAGAAGAAGAATGCCGTCGATGCCATCACAGTGCTGTAAGTCCACAAACAAAATCATTATTTTGTGCATGTAGTTACAAATAAGTCTTTGTTTTTTATTATTTTTTAGAAGTTAACTGATGAATTCAAACATATAAATAAGTATCTGCCTTTATTTTAATACTAAAAAAATTAATGACCGATGCATTGGCACCAATTTGGCAGGATAATCATATAAAAAAATTACAGTAATTTAATTTCCCTCTTTCTTGACAGAAAAGCAGATATCTCATTACTTTGACACATATTTCATCCAGTCGAACACATTTGGTTTACTTCCATGTGCAACAGTGTTCATTTTTCAGTAATACAGTTTACTTTTCTTCTTTGGAAACGCTCCTTCATCCCAACAGGCAGTTGGAGTTATTTTGGATGGAGTGATCAGCAAAGTATGTAAAGAGGTTGTTTGGTGTTTTTTTACCACCTGTGATTCATTTTTCTCTCCATATTTGCATGTTGCAGAATGGCTCGTTGTCTCGCTACAATAAAAATCTTGTGTGTGTCACATTGTTTGGGTCTGTCACACCAGCCTACATTTTGTGTTGTCTGCCTGCTACCACAAGAGGGAGCCATTTGTTCAAATACTTTCGTTGCCTGAATGCCTTCTGTCCATCCTTAAAACACGTTACATCTCAGAGTGAGATTGTAAATTGAAAGAAACGTAGGTGGAAATGCTTCTTTAAAGTATTTGCTTTATTTCCACTCCAGCATATGACGACCATGACAGCGCCGTGGACGACCGAGACAGCGACTACCCCAGTGAAACTGGGAACCGGCCGCCGCGGTTCCACAACACTTCTCAGACAAATTCATCTGTCCATCAGTACCCCATAGGCCGTAGAGTCCAGCATCAGAGCCTGTGTAGGGAATCTGACTCTGTTCAAAGTTACGATCTAGACAATAGAGAAACGAGGGCAAACAGGTAAACACAGAAATGTCTCTCTACCTATGTAGCAGCATTACATACTGGCAAAAAATGTATATTTGTGTATATAATGACACACAAAGTCTTGGTGAATAGTTTTGGCAGTGACACTAGTGCGGAGGTTATTTTGTTTTACATTATTCCCCAATCTACCGTAGATGAGTGTCAAAAGTGAGATTAGTTTTGTTTGAAAATTAATATTTTTTGACAGAAGTTTAAGAAAGTCTTCAAATGAGAAGCAACCCCAGACATGGATTATATTGGGATGTTTTTCTCTAATTCAATGATGAAGAAAATATTTGCGCACTGATAAGTCAGCTGATCTTCCAAAATTTTTCCTAATTTTGGGAGATCAACAAGTGGCTGACTTAAATGTGAAACTAATATTTTGTACTTATCTACCTCTGCAAAGGTCTGAAAATCTGCCATTAGGTTGCACTGTTTGACATTAAGATAATAAATTCACTTAATGGAAACGCCAATTTTTAAAAAACATTTTTGATGAAAATCTTTGGCACTAGAATGATGTGTTGCTGTAGATTATACTTTTAAGCTAAATGAACTTATTATGCCTTTTATTGTTGCTTTATACATTTATTTCTTTTATTCATCTGTATGTACATTGACTCTGACTTTCTTTCATCTCTTTTTTACATCATGTTTAATGCTTCTCTTTGTTGTTCCTCTTTGATTTCCTTCCTTTATTTTTTTTTCTTTGCATCACATTCCACCTCTTCCTGCATGATATACTATTGTTTATGCAATCTAGACGATCAAACAGCAAAAGAGGCGTTAGAATAATTCCTGTAGACTCAGGTATGGGTGTAGAGGATTGGGAGAGTAAATATAAGGTGCCCAACTCCAGTGTACTGGATGATTATTTAGACACTGAGCAGAAACTTTGGGAGGATGAAGATAAAAGTATCATCTACCGAATCAGTGACAGCTGTGAGTCCAAAGGCAGCAGATTTTATCAGACGGTAGAGTGTGATGGTCTCTCCCCTGAGGACACGCTGGAGCCAAGTGACAGGGCACCCAGACAGAGGCATGGCTTTGGCAACGGGGAAGTGCGATTAGTTTACAAGGCAGCCGGCAGCTTTGAGGATGAATCATCTCCTCCTGAAATTGACATAATCCCCTCAGTCAAACAGCTGAGACAGCCGACAGACAGAGAAAGCCTCCTTTACAAGACCAGATTGTGGGCCAAAACCGCTTTAGAAGACACTCTGGAGAACTATGCTGCTTTTCGTGAGCTGGAGGCTGCTAGGGAAGAAGCTGCTAGGGTCAGAAGACGTGTTGACTATAACTCTCTTTGCTCTGATGAGATGCAGTACTCATTTGGATCTGAGGAAGAACTGGAAGATATAACATTCACTGAGGGAGATGCTAATTTTGAATATGAAAGCTACAGCTACTCTGGCCAGTATATGGAACATTTTGAAGGACAAGATTTTTCAAGAAAAAGCAGAACAACTGATCAACGAGATCAGTTATCTCCTATGGAGGACCCAGATGATGAATACATAGATCCAATGGGTGAACTGCGGAGCTTAGTGCACTCAGTGTCTGAATACTTGGCAGTAAAAGAGGAGGAGCTTAACAGCTATGAATCAATGCCCAAGCCACCAAGAAGAAAACTACCTGCTCTGCCAACTGATGCAAAAACTTTACCACCTGAAGACAATGACAGTAATATGGCCAAACCTGTTCTTAAAGAGGAAAGTCCTGTTGAACAAAGCATAACTGGGGTGAAAAATGCAATGAACTCATTGTTCAGTACAATCACAGGAGCAAAGTCTCCAACTGAGGCAGAGGCCTCTAGTACTTCTCCATCTCCCCAGCCACCACTAACTGATTCTGGTATTTCAAAATTGTTCGCGTTTATCCCTAAATCTAATACCGAAACTCCTGAAACTGCATGTGCATCTGCAACAGAACCACCTACCTCCCAAACACCACCCCAAACCGAATCAGGAATTTCCAAGCTGCTTGCATTTATTCCTAAAAGTGGTGGTACCTCTCCACCAGTAGCCATAGTTCCGCCTGCCTCTCAGGAGTCCACAACAGAGAAAAAGTTCTCACTGCAGTCACTTTTGCCTTTTCAGTCCTCTGAACCCAGTAGACAAGTGGAGGTCAACCAGATGCCTACCCAAGCTTCCACAGATGCACAAAGTAGTTCAACAGCTGGTAATCAGTCTGCGTCTGGGTTTGAATCCATGTTAGGAAGGCTAAGTCCTTTGAGGCTTTTTTCCAGTTCACCATCTCCCAGAGAGACATCACCACAACCACCGGAGCAAAGAAGTCCATCTGCTGCAAACAAAGAATCCCAACAAGGGCAAGTAAGTAGAGCCACCAGTCCTAGTAGAGAAGGCTCACAAACAGAGCAGCAGTCAACAGGAGAGATAAGACCAGGTTCTGCAAGTGGATCAGTTGATCTTTTGCCTGATACAGGAAGTGGATCAATTGAACTTTTCCAAGAAACGGCAACCGGGTCAGTAGAACTTCTTCCAGAGACTGAGTCCTCTGGTGAGCTACCTGACATTCAGCAAAGAGGAACATCTTCAATGTCTGAAGCAAAACCTGAGGGAAGTTCAGAAGAAACTGGATTCTTCAGTCCTTTTAAGAAATCTCTCTCCACCCTCATGTCTGCGGTTCCTCCAGAAAACCCCTCGCATAGTGATACCAAGCCTGCCGAGGAGTCATTTCTAGGGAGCAAACTGAGAATTCCATTTTTGTCAGAAAATGTTTCCACAACAACCACACCTAAAGCAGAAGGGGGTATGTTGTCAGGAATTCTTAAATTTGGAATAGGGGAAGATTCTAATGTCACTTCAAATACTTCAACCCCTGCTCCTTCAAGGTCTCCCTCTCCAAGTCGTGCTTCAGTGCTGGAAAGTGCTCCAAAACAAAACACAGGAACTGGCTGGTTTTCTAACCTTTTTAAGGTCACTCCACCTGAACCTGCCAAAGAACCAAATAAAACCCAAATGACTCCTACTGTAACAGTTACCAAACCTAGTGATCAAACTGAACCTCATTCTGAACAACTAATTCCAGACACACCAAAAGGTACTGCTTCCAGTGCAGAGCAGACCTCTGAGGGGCAAACTTTGCAGGAAATAGATGTTATTTCCCAAGACCAAGAACCTCCCAAGGTCAAAGCAGACACGTCACAACCAGAGACCTCACAGCCTCAAGGATTTCTTTCTGGGTTTTTAAAAATAGGACCAACAGAATCTGTGTCATCTGATAAGAAAACCCATGAAGGAGATGGACGGTCTCAACCGAGTGGTTTGTTTTCTGGTATATTTTCATCACCTTCCCAGCCTTCCTCTCAACCACAACAGAGTTCTGGCACACAACAATCAGGAGTGTTTTCTGGATTCCTAAAGTTAGCCTCTGATACTGTTTCGGCTTCTACAAATCAGTCAACAACCCCAGGAGGTCAATCTGGCCAGCCTCCATCTCAAGGTCAAGGACTCTTTTCTGGACTGTTGAAAAAAGCTACAGATACAGTAACTGGAACCCAGCCTGCCCAGTCAAGTCAAGATTCTCAGCCAAGTGACGCTAATCAAACAGTGGTTAAGGATGCGCCAGAAAAACACTCGACTCAGGGATCAGATTCACAAGCTGAGTCGACTGGACTTTTGTCAAGATTTAAATTAGGATCCACAGATAGTCTTTCTCCTGATAAAAATCAAACAGATCAACAAACAGCCTCAGATGACCAATCAAAGCAACCACAACAAAGTAGCACGATTGCAGAACACGCTGCTTCAAAACCAACAGCAGCACCTCAATCAGGTGGATTACTTGGGGGCTTACTAAAACTCTCAGAATCTACATCCCAGCAACCATCTTCTGGTCAAGGGGGTTTGCTGTCTGGGCTATTTGGAATTGGTTCACAAGAATCTCCTGTAAACCCACCTCAACCTTCACAAAACCAACCACAGACTGTAAAACCTGAGAACCAACCAAATCAGCAACCAGGCAGTCGACAAAATCTTCAACAAAACCAAGTTCCTCCACAGCAGCAGACAAGTGGTTCTGGAGGGATGCTTAGTGGATTATTTAATAAAATTGCAGATGTGGGTGTGCCGCAGCCAACAGTGGGAAGTCAACCAACTCAACAACAAGCACAAAGACCAGGCCCCAAGACAAGTCAGCAACCACCTAATCAGCAGGGGGGATTTCTTTCTGGCCTGTTTTCCTCTGGGTCTAATACTCCAGCTCAGCAGCAATCTCCTGTTAATCAACAACATCAGCAGCAACCCCAACCAGCCAACAGACAACCTCTGCGTAGACAAAACCAGATACCTCCACAGCCCCCTGCTTCTGCTCCAGAGCCACAACAGGGTGGGTTATTGTCAGGACTATTTAACAAATTAGCTTCCAGTGACAATGCATCACAACAGCCCAGTCAACAAGCTGGTAGTCAGCAGGGCAATAAGCCTGGGCAGCCTTCCAATGAACCGTCGTCTCAAACCAGTCAGCAGGGTGGATTTTTGTCTGGTCTTTTTGGACCATCACCACCTCCACAAGTACAACAACAACCTAGTAAAATAGCAGGTCCTCAACAAACAACACAGCAAGCTAATCAAGGTGGAGGCCTGCTTTCAGGTTTTCTCAAGCTTGCATCTGGAGACAATGTACAAGAACAACCATCAGCAAAACTTCCTCAGGCTAGAGAAGCAGCAGTTAAGGCAGGACAAAATCCACCCCAGCCTGAATCTGGAGGGTTATTCTCTGGTTTATTAACCAAAATTTCAGCCACTGTAGAACAGTCATCATCTTCTGACCAGGTAGCACCTCAGTCAACTCAACAACAACAGCAGCAGCAGCAACAACAACCACGTTCAAGTCAGAGCAGACCGCAGATTCAGAGAACGAAACCTGTGGAAGTTCAATCCTTCCAGGAAGCATCCTCTGATAAGGAGACAAAAGCTCCAGCTCCTAAAGGATTTCTCTCCAGTCTGTTTAATGTCACGGAAGAGCCATCATCAAAGACGCAGGAGTCCTCTAAACCTGGAACAGAAGACCCCAAAAACAGCTCTCCTGGGACATCAACTGGCTTATCTAGCATTTTCAAAACAAATTCTAGTGACATCAGCACTTCTGCTCCTGGAAAGGAAAAGGAAAAACCTGTCCTTGAAACATTACTACAGAATAAGGAGAAAATTTCCTCAAGTATAGAAACACTCCCAGCTGCTGCTAATTCAGCTACTCGTGGTGTTGATACCCAGGAACAGCTTCCACAGTCACAGGTTAGGCAAGATGATACAATTTCCCCAGCACAGCGTTATCTTGAAGAAATCCAGCGTCTCCTGTATGGGACATCAGATGAATATGGTTACAAGGATTTGTTACACAACTTTACAGAACATGGAGTGATTCCTCCAGAGTTATATGAACATCAGTGTCTCATAGAAGCTCTGCTGTGGCAACAACTCAATGATTATGTCCAAGCTGAAGCGCTGGCCACCAATGTTCAAATTCACAACCAGTCATGCCACGGCTATATTCCTGCTACAGCTAAAGCTCCTCAACTAAACAACTGCATTACTTTAAATCCTAAAGAAATGAACATCAGTGACTTCAACATACCTGCTCATCCTTGGAGAGATACTTCCGCCCAGCTTTTTGAAAGCCGAAACCGCTTTTTTGAAACAGACGAAGATCTAGTGTTGTTTGACATGAGCTGCCGGAAAAAGAAATCTTGGAGCAGCTGTGACCACTTGAATGATCTTGATTACAATAGTAAACCATGGATTGCAAGAGGTAGCGCAATAAACCTGTCGACTGAAAAATCAAAGACACGTCTAAATAGATGTCAGTCGCTTACACAATGCAGTGTTCAAGAATCTGACAAAGTAGAGAACAAATGTGTTGTAGACAATTACTTGAAAAATGACAACTTTGATTTAAAATCAGCAACTGACTTTTTAAAGCGACTTTCAACAAAAAAAGGACCTGTCGACTTAAGACGCAGTGCTCTTAATTTAAGTAAGTCAGCAGGCACTGGAGGCGATATTGAAGATTATATGCTGTTTGAGGACTCTGAGTGGTACCAACAGTGGATGTCACTATTAGAACATGGGCTGTGGTGGCCAGCTGAAGCAGGAGACTGTGGATACTATGTTTATACAGATGAAAACTACATTTATTCTCTTTTAACTGATAAAGCTGGAAAGCATCTCTACGCCTGTGCTACAGACGAGGATATGCAAACTCTGGGAAATATCACTGAAAATATAGCTAACATTCTGAAGCAAAGACAAACTGATAAAGTGACCCTTTGTGGTTTCAAAATTCCCCTGAATGATGAAAGTAAAGGTTTCTGCTTTTCAGACAATCAGCAGAATGGCTTATTATCGAACGATGCACCCATGGATCTGACGGCTGCTCTTAGAAAAGGTGATACAATAATGAACTTGAATTTGCAAAGTTTCTCTCAAATGTTTCAAGAGTCTGTATCATCCCAAGCAGAACAACCTATTGACTTTAGTGTGTATAAGCTTAAAAAGATAAAAGTGGAGTCTGTTCAAAATGGTTACACTTGTCAAGAGGAGGTAATGGAAGCTGCTGATTTTAGCTTGAAGTCTCTAAAAGGGGGGCACGGAGGGCCCTACTGGAAGGATCAAAGACTTAAAGATATACTCACACCTAGACATTCTCAACATTACTTGCCACAAATCTCTCAAAACAGACAATGTCCTATTCCAGAAATTAGGATTGCACATGCAGATGATACAAATGTACACCAATCAAAAGGAAAAATAAGTTCTACATTTTCAGGATTCAGAGCAAACTCTACTAACACCAACACAAATAAAGCTCAAACAGTTTCAGCAACATCTACCATTTCAGCATCTGTTTCCAGTCAACATTCAGAAACTTCACAATCAACTTCAAAAATACAGTTGGGAAGGAAACTGCCTAATGCTCCAACTGATAGTAAGACAACCAGTCCTTCAACTCCACCAGGACAAGTAGCTTCTTCTTCTGTAGCAAAAGCATCTTCCCCAACAGTGCCTTATATTTCTTCCAAGAGACCACACCTTACAAGACAACCATCTCAAGCAGATAAAACAGTATTATCTCAGTTTAATAAAGACACTGTCACTGTTTTATGCAACAAAGAGAAAAGTACCTCAACAATGACCCAAGCTGTCTCTGAGATTCCTAAAGAGCCACAAGATATCCCTAAGGTATTTAAACCAAAGCTACATATACTGAATGACACTTCAAGTGTTTATAGTGAAACCTACCTTTACAGCAGAAACAAGAAGTGCTTTACCTCCTCTGGTGGCTCTCAAATGTGCCATAAAGTTTTAGATTTTTCTTCCGTAATAAACAAAAACATTACCAAACAAAAAGATGGAACTGATGATGGTGTTGAACCTGCACCTAGGAATGAGGCTGTCGACTTTACTAAGTACAAGTTTAAAAAATTCAAAGAAAAAAAGCAAGCTGATTCTGAGGCAAATATGGACATGCCAGTTGAAACTACAACAGCTGTAGATCTAACCAAGCAAGTTGAAGAAGAGGAAATTGAATGGCCAAATTCAAAAAGTACTAGTGTAAGCCCATTACAGCATGGTCTCACCATATCTCAGAACAGCCACAAGGAATCATTTGAGCATAAAAATCAATCAGCAAGACATCTGTCCAAGCCAGGAGTTGAAACTGGCCAATCTCATTCTATAGTCCATGCACAGCAAATACAAGCCTTTTCTAGTACCACTAAAGAAGCAAAGACCAGTCAAAAAGATCCTGAGTTTTCTGAAAAAGATAAAAAATACTCTTCCAAGCTGACTTGTGCATTTCCTGTGTCGTCGAGGATTCCTGGCACCAATTTTACATCAGAAAAAACAATTTCTGCAGTGTCTTATACTTCCAGTAAAGAGTCCAATCTCGGTGAAACTGTCCAAAGTACATCAAGAACTGAGTCAAAACAACCAGCACGAACCTCACCGCTTTTGAGCCCTGCTATGAGAAAACAAGTGGACAGTCAGGAAAAACAGCTGCCAAAACAAAGTTCAACTGTAGTTGCAACAGATTCTACCCAAGTTTACCCTGACAAGAGACCAGTATCTGCACTAGTTTCTTATCAGTCTTTTGAAAAGACTCAGCAGTATCAGAAGACAACTGCACCTGCAAATTCAATTAAAGCCACGTTAGACATGTCTGTCAATTCAAAAACACAACTGACACAGAAAACTGTTGTCCCAGCAAAGGACCCTGCTGGCGAGGCATTGCCATTGACCAATAGAAAACCATTAGCTTGTGATGAGAAAGACCAAAGTTTAAGTCGCCAAGAATCCATTGACCTGACATGTAAATCAGTGTCATCGTTGAATAAACCTGAGATGAAAGACTTAAGTCATACACCAACTCTTCAGGAACTCCCAAGCTCACTAAAAATCACACAAGACATGTCTTCTAAGTCTTTAAATTCAAAAGAAGTGGTTCTGAATGAAGATATCACAATGAAAAAACCTCTTACTGACTATATCTGTCTGTCTCCAAATGCACAACCACTTCCATGTCAGTTAGATCCAGAATCACTTCAACCACCCTCTTGGCAGAGCAAAGATGGCATAGTAATGCAATCGGTTCACTCACCTTCTCAGTTACTGGGAACAAAACATGTTGCTTGTCCTCCATCAAATGCCGCTAATGTATTAGATATGTCACCAAAGCCATCTCAAGTCATGTTGGGAAAAACAGGGCCTGGCGATAAGTTTATCACAGACAAAGCTGTTTCACTTGTTAAAAAGTCAAGTGCAAGAGCGGTTGTCAGGAGAGATTCTGTTGGTGTTGCGCTGATAGTTGATCAAACCCAGATGGAATCAACAAGCGAAATGCAATCTCAAAATATGATCTCTAAGCAAAAAAAACAAATAACAGACAGAAATGGAGTCTGTATTTCACAGCAGTCCATTCCCGGCTACACGGTTATGGAATACTCAGGTGCATCGCAGACTATTGTTAAATCAAATTTATACAGTACAGCTCCAGCAAACTCAGTTAAAGGCACATTAGACATGTCAACAAAGGCCTCTGTACCTGACACAAGTATGCCTTCACATCCAGTGTCACTGGTTCGCTCAAGACGATCAAGCTTAACATATTCTCAAAAAGATTCTGTTGGTGTCCCCTTAATAGTGGAGGTACAGATTCCCCAAGAGCCGCCTAAAAAGAATCAGATAGCATTGGTAGAATCCCAGAAGCCTTCACAAAGATTTGTGCATTGTGAATCTCGAGAAACTACTGCACCCGCTAACTCCATCAGAAGCTCTTTGGACATGTCCCCAAAATGCCAACAGAAAGAGTCTAAAAGAGCTTCCATTGTACTATCATGTGAAGCTGTGCCACTAGTCAGAAATAGGACACATGTATTAAAGAATCCTGGTGGTGGTGTACCACTCATCGTGGAGCAACCTGTATGTCAACAAAGAAGACGTGTTATGACAGAAGTTTTTACAACTGAGACCCTACACAGAAAAATATCCACCTCTCATTATAATGAAGCATTATCTCCTTCTAGGACCTCATATAAGGACCCACAGCAACACAATAAGCCTGTAGATTTCTCAGCTAGAAACAGCCTTGTTACAAATAATCTTTCAAACAATCAAATTGAACTGAAATATGGAGAGCCTATGAACTTCACTGTTGCAAAAGGAAAGAAAGAAACTACTAAAAAATTGCAAAGTGAAAAGGACCCAGAAAAGAAAACATTTGTGGGTACAGTGGATCTAACTGTGAATGTTAAAAACAAATCAGTAATTGACCCTCAAGGTGCAACGGATTTCACTTCTACGGTTTGTGTCCCATCTCAACACAGAATAAATTCTCAGCAACAATACATACCTGCAAACACTGTTGATGATTTCAGAAGTGACATTACATGTTCTCAAACTCGAAAGTTATTGGAGGTGATGCAACATTCAAATGATACATGCATAACCACACATGCTGGAACACATCATGAAATGCATGGAGGAACAAGATTGAATTTTGAATCTGCATTTTCACCTCTGGTTGCAACTGAAAGGAGAATACAGCCTCCTCAGTCTTTTACTCCCCAGGCTACACAAGACATTGGATTTACACAGTTGTCACTTAGTAGTTCATATCAACAGGTCAGTAGTGTACCTGAACAAATATCTTTGGTAAAACATCAACTGCCAACTCAGTATTTAGCTTCTCAACAACAATATCCACACCCCAGAATGGAATTTGCAATTCCTCTGCCAAAGACACAAAAGTTGCAAAAACAAGACACAGCTATACAGCAGGATGTGACCCATAGACCCAAAATTCTTATTAAGCAGGCAACTGTCGATGGTTATGGGAGTACAGAAGAATTGGAAGAAAATGAAGCAGACACACACAGTAGGCACTCATCCGTTTCTTGCACTACCCAACAAGGTACAGGTGGATCCCAAACAGCTGCTGTCCCTTTGTCTCTGAACACACAGCGTGGTGTGAGCACTGAACATTCTATGGCACTTACAATTGCACAGCCTGTACAAGGACACAGCACTTTGGCTGAAAATGATGCAAATATACCTCTTCATCTCTCAAATCCTCAAAGCATAAGCCAACATCACATCACTGCAAAAAATAATTACACACCAATCTTACCCTCTAATAACATGGATTCAATACAGTGTGTTTCACAAGCTAGTGTACCTGTATCACAAACTACCAGAAGTCCTGATACACTATATTTTGAAGAAAGTTATCAAAATCAGGACATTGCATCTCAATCACAAGAGTCACAAGTGGCTTCAACACAAGCAGGATCTTCTTCTGTGAAGGGTTTGATTTCACTTTTTAGTAATTTGGACTCACAATCTTTTGTTGGGACAAAATCATCTGCGAACTCCAACTATTCCAAGACTGAATCAAAACCCGTAGACCACGTTCTTTCAATACAAAAGCAAGAAAATCTTGTCCCAGTTACTCATAACTCTAGAAACATAGAGGGAATGCCCTCAAATTCTCAATTTTGTACTGTGCAAGATTCTGTGCCACTCACAGCAACTCTTGGACAGGGTTATGTTGAATCTAGATCAGTGACTCCTGAAGCTAAACTTCCTTGTTCATCTGAGGCATCCAAAGATCAGTCTGCCAATGTGGAGGCAATGTTTCCTCCAGAACTACCGCTAGGCACTGAATCACAACAAATAAGTTTAATATCAAGTGATTTCAGTCAGACAATGTCTACTGAGACACTGGAAGGCTCATCATCACTGAGTACTGTTAAGTCCACATCTCCTTCTCAAAAGCGTCAAGAACTACAGGACACAAATTCTTGCACAGGAAGAGAAACACTTGATGACTTACCTCCTTCTGAACCATTCCCAGTTAAACCAATAAATAATAAACTACATGAAGGACTTCAAAGCGCTGACGATTCTCCACTATTTCCACTAACATCAGAAGAGGATAAATCAAAATCAAATAGTAAAGAAGCATCGGCCGCAGTAAATAAAATACCATCTCAATTAGACCTGTCACAACAGCAAGATTTTGCAGAGCTTAAACAAGCTACATCTACAAAGTCTTCTAATGTTAGGGCTGAATTCAAAGAAATTTCTTCACAAGAAAAAAGCAGACCTCCAAGGTCAATCTACATTGGCATAGGTTCTTCAGATACACTTCCTTTTGGGGTAGAAATTGAATCAGGGGAGCAAAAGCCTTATGTTAGACTGCCCCACATTTTTATATCAGCTGCCAGTTCACCAGAAGAAGAGAATAATGAGACCAACCTTGGTACTCCTGAAAGTAATAGAGCTAATTTTCCAGACGCTAGTGTCTCTGATAATACTACGTCAAGTGCAGGAGCAGTACCAGCGCAAAAGGAGGTTGATGTTGATGTTGTAAAGTCTGATGCATCTAAGGATACTGATACTTTAGAAGACAGTACTATACAGGGATTTGTTGAACCACTGAGCAACGAGGCTAAGACTGGCTCTCCAGAGATTCCAATTACACTGACTACATCAAATCAGATAATTACAAATGAACAAGACTTTGAGCACACTGTGACAGATAAAACATCAATAGGCACTACTCTTTCAGAGATTGAAAATAAATTAGAGACTACCGAGGTTCCTGAGGACAAATGTCAATTGATTTCTGAAAACATAGAGTTTACAACATCAGACTCATCACAAGGTGAAGTTGTAAAACCTCTAACTGACCTGGCCTGTCAGGTTGTTGAAGAGTCACCAGAATGTGTTCAGTCATCTCAAGAGTCAGTTACTATGAATGAAAACAAATCTCCCAATACAAAACTTCCAGAAGAGGTTGACTGCTTGAGTATCACGTCTCCAAAACTAGAAACCTTGATTTCAGATGTTAAATCACCTGAAGGTGTCCAACATCTTCATGAGAAAAGTGAACAAGATGTCTCTTTATCTGTGCTTGAGCCACTTCCTATCAATGCTCCTACTGAGGAACTTACTATCTCTAAGGAAGATAGTGCAGTTGTTAAGAATGATCTGCCCAATGCTGAACAAACTGATGAACAAGCAGGAAAAGGCATATTTTCACTGTTCAGTGGTTCTACAGCATCCCCACAACAAACTCCCTCCCAAACTGGATTATCAATACTTGGGGGCATTATTCCTGGCTCATCTACTAAAGATACTCCTGGGACAGGATTACTCTCCATGTTTGGTGGGTCAAGTGCACCATCTTCATCTGAATCCAAAGACATGCCATCACAGTCAGCACCACAAGAACCCCAGGGAAAAGGTCTGTTCTCTATGTTTGGTGGTTCTATTAGTCAACCACCATCTGGTCCAAGGGGTCCAACTGCTGGAGGTGTGCGGCCTAGGGGGCCACCACCCAAAGAACCTCCAGGAAAAGGTCTCTTTTCCATGTTTGGTGGAGCTGCGCCCCAACAAGCACCAAGTCCCAGGACTCATCCAGGGGCTGGTCCTCCACCAAAAGGACCAGGATCTTCTCTGTTTGGTGGCATCCTACCAGGTTCAACAACGCAAAAAGACACCTCTACTACAGGCTTGTTCTCCAAGTTTGGTGGTCTTGGGGGTCAGCCCCAAACAGGGCCTAAAGTAGGCACACCTGGACAAACAGCTACACCACCAAAACCCAGTGGTCCAGATATTTCAGGGAAGGGACTGTTTGCCATGTTTGGTGGACAGAGTCAACAGCCATCAGAACCACAACCAACAGCTTCTAAAACAAGTGAATCAGACACTGCTTTTAAAGTGCCATCTATGTTTTCACTTGGTTCAAATACTGACGGCAATAAATCTAAAACTGGGTTTGGCCTATTTAATATGTCCTTTTTGGAGGAAAGCAAAGCCGAACCAGAAAAAAATGTTCCTGTTAAAGAGGAGGTTGTAGTTGAGTTATTAAAGTCTTTAGATACAGAAGCTCCTTCAGAAGAAGGAGATAATAACCATGATAAAACTGTAAAACATGTACCCACTGAACCTGTTTATACAATTTCAGTTCAGAAAGAACATCATGTAGAGGACACATGTCAAGATGTCCAAGATTCCATCAATGATGTTTTTAAAAATGTTAGTGAAGCTTTTGCTCCTCAAAGAGATTCACAAGAAGACCTGGACAAAGAAACCACAATGCAGTTAAACTTTTCTAAAAGTGCCTCAGAGACAGTTGAAACTTTTATTGGAGAGTCATCGATCAAAATTTCTGAGAAAGAGACATTTGTGGATTCACAAGAATTTAAACAAGTCAGTGAATCACAATCAGACATCCCATGTGGACCTAAAGAAAGAGAAGGTGCAGTAAATGTTGAGGAAATAGTTGCACAATCAGAAACTGCTATATTAGAAACAAAGATTACTCAAAATGAATCTGATATAGCTGGGATCAGTCAGTTATCAGAAGAACATGACTCCATTCAAATATCAGAAAAGAAAACAGATTCTTTGGAAAAAGTAGAAACCTTCGATATTGCTGTGGCAGAAATTCAAGATGCAAAGGCTAAAGATGTGGACATTCCTTCAGAGAAGGGAAATGAAGATGATTTAACTGTTGCTGTGGAGACTGCAGTTGAAGATGTGGGAAAATCACACAAGGATGCTATAAAACGGTCTGATGAAGACAGAGCAGTTACAGTTGATGAAAAATCATCTGAGGAGCCTCTGAAGGCTGGCGATGAAGAACAGACTTCAGCAGATGTGAAACAAACTGACGAGACCTTGAGAAATGCTGCTGAGATACAGCCACCGGCTGTTGATGTTAAGAAATTACCTGATGAGGATTTGTTAGTCAGTGGTGAACAAAAAACAACTATTTCCGATGTTGAAAAATCATCTGATGGTGCTTTGATAGTTGCTGATGAGCAACAAACAGTTGTATCTAATGTTGATAAAGCGTCTAGTGATCCATTAAAGGTTCCTGGGGAGGAGCAAGCCACTCTCACAGGTCTCGAAAACCTAAATAAAGAGGCAACTGACATTGGTTCTGTCAAAGAAATCGCAGAAAAATCCACTGGAGAAATGGATGAAAAAGACTTGAAAGCTTCATCTGTCGAAATTCCAAAAGAACTGGCTGAAGAAAAATCAGAAGATAATGTAGATCCTGTGCATAAAGTAAACAAAATTTGTGAAAATGATATTTCTGCAACAGTTTCATCATCAAGTGAAGAAAAAACTTTTGAAAACAGTTCAGTAGCACCTGCTGATCCTTCAACACATCAACAGCATAGACCAGAAATGGTCAGACCACCTGGCCCACCTGGTCAAAGAATGGGAGCACCAAGAATGGGAGGACCACAAATGGGAGCCCCGAGGATGACAGGACCAAGACTGGTTGGACCAAGGATGGCTGGACCAAGAATGGCAGGACCGAGAATGGCTGGTCCAAGACAACCAGGACCACAGAGACCCCCTGAACCATCTTCATTTTCTGGCTTCATGTCTATGTTCTCCACTCCAAGTGCACCAAATAAATCACCAACTGTCGGTGGATTTTTTTCAAGTTCACCAGGATCCCTTTTTGGATCATCATCTACTCCTCGTCAGCCTCAGCAGCAGCAACAACAGAAAAGCTCATTTTTTGGTCTTCCAAGTAGCATTGCGCCAGAATCCATCACCAGTGACCTGTTTGGTATGTTCAAAGGTCAGGAGACAACAAAACCAGAGGAACCTGAACAAACTGGCACAAAATCTGAACAAGCAGAAACTCCTGCAAATTTGGCAAACCCTCAGGACTCTAAAAAGGCAAATGCAGACAATGTAACTTTAACTGAAGATGAACAAGTTAAAACCACAGAGGATTCTGACCTACCTGAAAAAGGGCTTGTTGAAGAGGCTGAAAGAAAAGACAAAACAGAAGATGATTCTCTCATTGAATCAACAGTAAAAACTGAAGACCCTGAACAAAAGACAGAGTGTCTGGAGGCTGTTGAGCATTCAGAAGACCCTGTTACTGAAGAATCTTCCAAAGGTGTACCATCTGCAGCCCCTGAAACCAAAGGCATGTTTGATATACCCATTCTGTCTACTCCTAAATTTGGCTTCATGTCTGCAGCTACTGAAGGCACAACATCTATCGGATCCCTTTTCTCCACTACATCTTTAGCCTCTAAACCCTCAGAGCCTCAAAAGACAGATGGCGGTCTCTTTTCAGGCTTTAAAAACCTTTCAGCTGGTATTTTCCAGGATGAAAAGCCAGCAGGAAAAGAGGAAACACCAAATGCGTCATCCGTGTTTGGATTGAAACTGAGCTCAGTGTTTGGCACCTCCGACTCTCCCAACCCTGAATCCACCCCACCTGTGATCACATCCCAGCCTCAGAGTGAATCTCCTAAATCGGCAGAAGAACTTGATGAGCCAGACTCTGACAAACCATCCCCAGGTTCTGGGGAAACAGAAAGTGCAGACAATAGTGACATTGAAGGACCAACAGAGACATCTAAAACAGGAAGCTGTGACACCTTAGCACAAACAGCACAATCTGGCCTCCCGTCTCTTTCAGGTTCTCTGTCAGAAAGCTTAGATAAGCCTCAGGTAACATTTACACCATGTGAGTTAGATAAGAGCGAAGAAAATACACTTGACACCAGGCAAGCAGAGTTGAAAACTGAACAACCAAAAGATGTATTGATGAAGGAAGCAGTGAAAAGGCTAGTATCTGTATGATAAATGACATTATTCATTTATCATATTTCTGTAGAAACATATGCAACCCATACCCTTCCCTATTTCCCATTATTTCCTGTTGAGCAGTCATAGCATTGTGACCATTAAAATATGTGATGCATACATGTACATAATTTTTTTTAATAAAGGATGTTTATTTTCTGTTGACTTGCACCAAAATGTTCAATTACTTTAAAACACTTTAACATATCCTTTGCTTCTGCCTTATCTAATAAGAGCTCTATTGTTGGCAGAAGAGTGGGATATTCACTAAGTAGACAGATGGTCACATTGTTATGGCTAATATGTGTTGTATTTTGTACTTCTGCCCATTTGTCCATTTTCCATCTGGTAGTTTTACTCTAGTTCTTGGTAAATAGTTAAATTTACTTGGATGAAAATATTTATAGTTTGGATCTCATAAATAATCTACAACCTTGTATCCAAAGCCGTTAACACTCTTTCATTCTGAGTTTTATTGCCAAACCTTTTGCGAATGATCACATGTGAAAAAGGTGTTTCCTTTCAAGAGTAAAAATATAGTGCAGGCTCATTTCACCGTCTTACTTACGGGCTTCCTGACTGATGGAGGCTCAATCAATGTAGAAGGTGATGGTTTTATTTATTAGCGCCCTACTGCTGAGGCGGTTACAAAGTTCCTCCTTCCTTTGTCCCCTGCAGCTCTCTGAATTACACCCAAGATTCAGCCAATTAATTTAGATGAATCAAAGTCCGGTAGATTTATGACGGTGTTGCAGTAAAGACCGTGGAGGCAGACTGGACACTGGACTAAAAGCAACAGTGAGAAGTAATCTGGCAAACAACCAAGACTAAGTAAATCATTCCACCTAAAGCGCAGAGCCACTTTCCTCGTTAGAAAACTCAATCAACCAGCAGTCACACCTCTTTCTCTTTCTCTCCCCTTCAAAGTCAGTTATTTGTTATTTTTATTATGTAGGGGCTGACTTGCATCAGCTGGCCTTAGACTGATGTTAGTTATTTCTCTGAGTTAAAAGAGTTAAAAGTGAGTCTAGGAAGCTTTTCAAAGGAATATTTTTGTCAGAAAAAATATTTTGCTCTACTAAGATTTTGTAGAAATAACAATGAATTAAATGTTGGCAATGTTAATGTGCAAACTCCATAGGTAAGTGTGAGCCTTTTTACAAAACTGAAGGTTCTGCAGCTTTGTGTGATCACACAAATAAAGCTTGCTTTCAGAACCACTCAGGCTATTTTAAAACAGCAAGACGTATTGAAATTTTGTTTGCTGAAATACAATTTTTGTCTGGTTTTTCATAATACTGAATGATGCAGTCATATGCATTAAAGTGTTAACAGTTTCATAGAAGAAGGATTGAGACATCACAATATAGAAAAAAACATCAATGGATCAATTTTAAAGTTACTCAGACCCCGTAGTGTTGTGAAAAGATTATAACGCAATGGAATACCTAACATTCATCACACTGAAGTGAACTTTCCCAAATTGGTGAAGATTAGCATAGCATAGCATGAAGAAACGTTAAAATTGAGTTTTTACTGCAGCATATCAATAATGTTTCTAAAAATTTTCAAGATTTCAGAAATTGTGGTACATCCTCTTTTATCTCAACTTCAAATTGTATATCATTTAGTATCAGACGGGTCCTGAATCGTTAAGGCTGCTTATCTCTGTATAAAACACAAGTAGATTCGCAGTTGATTGACTGGAATACTTGAGTTTTCTAACACCATCCAAAAAGTTGGGAAAACAACTTTTAGTTGTTGCTGAACCCTACTAGTCCCTCCAGTGGTTGAGAGTATTTATCCTCCATTCCCTTTTTTCCCTTTGTTAGTGATTGTTTTTTAAATAGAATCAACATTGCAGTGGTGGGCTATAACACCAATGTCTTCATCTTCAGCCTCTAAACCTCAGAGCCTCAACAGACAGATGGTGGTCTCTTACTTCTGTTTTCAACCACTTCAAAATAAGAGCATGAATATAAACTTCTATTTGAAGAATTCTGAACAGATGATGACCAAAACAGAGATGTCAAATGTTATTCAACAACCAACCAAGTAAATTGGCACTTTAGAATTTATCTGAAAAAATTAACCCAGATGAAGCTAAGCTAGCAAAAATGTTAACCAATCACATTCATGGATTAGTGGAAATTTGCCCACCATTGCAACTTTTCTCTAAACCTTCTGTTTGTAACACTGATCATTTTCCCTCAATATTTTAACTAAACTCTCACTTCACAGTCCGTTGGACAGCAGCCATTTTGACTCATCAGGGAACCTGAGCCCCGTCAGTTCCCAGCTGAGCTCTGAACTCGAGGACCGCCACCCTCCAGAGTCCTGCCCCCCCAGCAGCACCCGTACGCCTCTGCGCAGTGAGGCCTCCAAGTCGTTTGAGGAGGAAGAGCTGGAGAAGGAAGCGAACGGACTTCCAGAATCTGGTGTGAACAAAGACCGGAAAGATTCATCAGTTGTCTCCCCAAAGCTGAGCTTGGAAAAACACGATGACACAAATCTAACAAAAACTTGGTTTGTAATTACATTTTTTAAAATATTAATGTGTTTGTTGTTAAAATTGCAGGATTACACAACATTTATGTTGGTGTATTCTTGTGTTCCCAGCCTCTTTGATGACGGCCCACCGCCTTGTTCTCCAGCTAAAGTTCGCTGGCTGAAAGCTTACAACAAAGTGAGGTTACAACTCCATGAGGTAGGAAGCAATGGTTCCCTCTCCTGGTTCATCTCTTTCTCCTACACACTTAATACCAAGACACAAGCTCTTGAAAGTCTTTCACATAAACCTAATCGTGATAGCATCACTCTGCACACACGGACATGCTGGTTCTCTGTGTTTTTAAGATGCTTTGCGTCTTTTTCCCTGTGTGTTGGTTGAATTTCTGGCCAAGCCTAACAATTTTGCAATAATTATGTTTTCCCATAAGGATTTTAGTGGTCATTAACATTGGAAATTAGGTACAGACATTTCTTTTATTCATAACGAATCTAAATTACACTTACAGGCTCTAATATATACGTACACTATCACTAATATTTAGTTAAATTTCCACTTATCAAGTTGGACCTTAGCCATTAACAGGCTTCTAGCTTGAAATGGACAATAATGCAATAACAATTTATGTTGTGATTGGCACGTGATCAATATCGATAGATAATACGTCTGATAGAATATTTACTAAACAGCGCACAGCATTCTGGGTGATGTAGGCAGAGGAATGGCTTTAGCTACTCAACCTCTTGTGGCTAGCTAAACAAAGTTGGTGGACTCAACTTGCTCACTCACTCTTTGGTTACCTAGCAACTCCCTCACTCTTTGGTTACCTAGCAACTCCCTCACTCTTTGGTTACCTAGCAACTCCCTCACTCTTTGGTTACCTAGCAACAACTTGTTGCGTATTTTCTGCAGAAACTGTTTCAGATTTTGCTACCATGCCTCATTAGTTCTTAAAAATAAAAAACAACAGGATGGACTTATAACTGTGGATAAAACAGAAAAAGTATTTTAGGTATTTTAAACAAAAAGATGATGAATAATGATTGATAGACTGATATAGAATGTTTATATCATAATTAATTTTACAGCCATAATTAACCTAATTAATGGGTTAATTGGTTAATGGCATAATTCTGGCTGGATAATTGGTGGAGTCCATTTAAATTATTTGGCTATTGTGGGGAAATTTACGGTCTCTTGTTTTAAACATAGGCTGCAAATTATTGGCAGGGTTGATGTCTCTCTGCCACTAGTACATGATGTTGATTCCTGACTTTCCCAACTTTTGTCATCATTAATTTAGTCTTCCCTCGTTTTCTTCAGCAAACATCTCAGCCTGTTTCAGATGCTCAGCAGAAAGAGATGGCTCCCTGCTTTGCTCCTGGCCAGCAGTTATCACATTAAAGACAAAAATAGTCCCTGTGTTTCTGAAGAAAACAATGTAGCATGGCAACAATATTACATTTCTATGGAAACACAACCTTAAACTAGTGTAAGGTTAGGCTGTGATCGCTGCAGATGGTGGAAACCACAGCGGGTTCTCCATGTTGAAACCTGTTCAGGTGACTTATTAGTTTATCACAGATGTCTAAAGGAGGGATGATATTTTAGTTAAAACTTAGAATTTTATTTGGAGGGAGGGAAGGAAGTATAGATGGATGGATGTAGAGATGGATGGATGAATACATTAAAGGATGGATAAATGGATGGATAATCCATTTTCTTTAGCAGAACTTTTCTCTGTATTAAATCCTGGGGACGCCCGGAGCTTCAGTTCCTGTGTGAAAACAACATCTTACCCCAGTTCAACCAGGAAACGATCATTTTGATTCCATCAATCGACTCTCTGAGCTCCTCGACCTGCGAAAGCAGCGTCACTGTGTACGACAGCGCAGCTTTTCAGAATGATCTTCATGCTCTGAAAGCAAAGCCAGGAGCTGCATCCTTCTTCATCTTTTGTCAGTTTCACTAAGTGGTCTGTGTCTGGCAGATTTCCAGAGGAGAGAAAACTGAAGCTGGAAGAGGGGAGCAGGAGGGCGTTTCATTTGCAACTAAAATCCTCTGCAATCATCTGCAGTGATGTAGAATCAAGACGGCAACATTTTCAAAACAAACAAAAACGTTGGGATTCTGATTTGACTCAGAGATGATGCAGCAGGATTTTATAATTGTAATTCTATGATATTCTTTTAAAATCAGTTTACTATGGAATGAAACACCTTTTTGTCCCTGTGAAAGTAAATAATTAGCTCTTCTAAATATAGTTTTATTCACACTACATCTGCACTTCGCTGCACTTCAGTCGGCAACTGAAGCAGTGTGAAGAAGCAAATGCGTTTGAAAACAACTTTATTCCCTTATTATGCAGATGGTTTATTAAACAGCTGATGAATATTCTGGGATGGCAGTTTGAGCGACTCAACAGGATTAGCTCATTGGTGGGGAAATGACTACAGTGGCTCAGACGTGAAGTGCTGAATTTCAAATCATCAGTAAAAACTTGGGGTGAATTTTTCTAATGATTGGTTGTTCCTAGTTGGAACTGGAAGAAAACAGAGGAAATTTATTTTTTTCAGATTATCTGTGTGATATTATGCAGTCACAAGATAGTCACAGTTTCAGAAAATATGTAAAAAATATGTATGCATCTTTTTTATAAAACTTACATACTGCAGCTTGAACAATGTTCAGTAGATACACAATTCCACCAGGTGTTTGCTAATTGGTGCTGGCTAGTCTGAAGGAGCAATCTGGTCTGTTTTTGATGAGGGAACCAAACTAAAACAGTCAATTTTACATTACACTGCTCCTTTAAAGAATTAAACACTAAACATAACTGACAGGATGAGGGGCTCAAAACGAATTAGCTTTGAAGGATTTTCAAGCTAGCCTTAATTATATTGATCTCCATTCAGGTTATAAAGCAGAAAGGAAAAAAACCCAGAAACAATCATGATAACAGCAGCAGAATGACTGAACAGAGAGCCGGAGACCGAGGGGAGGATGAGTTCTTCTGGTGATGACGATTGATGCTCAGCATACTAACAACGCCGCGCCGTGAGCGACCCGCCGCTCTGACTTTGGCTGAAAGTCACCGTGGAAATCAAGCCTGTGGGGGGGCGCGTCTTTATGCCCCAATGTTTGCTTTTCTGCTAAACGTTAGCCAGGGAACTTTACTTTTATTTTTTTAATCTCCTCCTGTTTTATCTTATTACTCACGAGACAGTAATAGTATGAATTTAACTAAAGTGGGATCAGATATTTAATGTTCACTTTAATTCCCCTCAATAGCAGGATGTGCTTCTCTGCTCCGCCTGCCGCTGTGTCTGAGAGCCATTATTAGCTTCTTTTCTCCTGTTTGCCTTTTCACACAAGTGGTATTTAAAATTTGCAGCTGGTAGATGAAAGGGTTGAGACAGTTTTATGGCTGAATTGACTGAACCCAGGGAGATTTTTAGTTTTTTGTTTTGCTCATAAGCTGCGGTTATGATTTGTATTCCTGATGAGAATCTTTTCACATGATGACGGGGAAAGATTTCCTTCCTGGTTCAGAAACAAACCGTCACAATTAGTGTCTCCGCGTGACGTTTTTAATGCTCAGGCTCCATTAAAACCTCTGAAGCCGGTTGGAAATTAATCAAAACAAATCACTGAATGAATGAATGAATGAATGAATGAATGAATGCATGCTAGCCTCATTTAAGTAAATAAGCAAACAAATGAAACCAATAAATGAATGGACCAATAAATTAGTGATCCAATGAACGAGTGAATAAACCAATGGGTGAATAAATGAGCAAAAGAATGAATGAACATGTGAAAGAACAAAGGAATGTGAGGATGAACTGGTGGGTTATTGACAGGATGAATGAACATGAACAAACTAATGAATGAATGAATAAATCAAAGAACCATTGAATGAGGAAAAGAATGAACGGACATTCAAAAAATGTAATAAAATAGCAATAAAAAAAATGAATGAATAACTGAGTGAACGAATGAATACTCACCTGAAATGAACAAGCAAAAAAATTAATTAGTGAATGAACTCATGAATTATTTAGGCAATGAATAAACCAACAGATGAATAAATGAGCAAAGGAATGAATGATCTAAAAAATTATTTTAAGTGTATGAATGAAACTATGAAGGAATGAACAGATGATGGATGAATAAGCAAAGGAACAAATGAACAAACTTGAAATAAAAATATTCAGATGAAAGAAATGAGTTCATGAGCCAATAAGTGAATGAATGACTGACTAAATGGGCAAACAAATGAACAAAATTACAAACTTGTAAAACAAATGAGTAAAACAATGAGTGAATGTAAATGGAAAAATTGAATTCTTCAAAAAAGGCAAATGAGCAAAATCCCTTTATTTTTGCGCATACGATGATTTACGCATCCATTTTCACAAAACCTCTAATTATTTTATGCTTGCCTTAGTTTTTTTTTTTTTTTCAGTCCGTTCTAGAAAAGCAGCTCGTTATTAAACTGTAAACTTATTATTCTGATGATTCCTCTGGGCCAACTTTCATCCCCGGCACCCGTGTCGTTGTCATTTTTCCTCCATATTAGTTTTGTCATATTGATTATGAGTAAAATGAGCTTCAACTTCCAGGCTGATTGCCTGAGTCCGAATGCTGAGCATCCAGTGGCCGGAGCGTTGGATGCTAATGGCTTTTTAATGAGGCATAAGTCACATCTCTGTCCACAGGCCACAAAGGAAGAAACATTTTAGGCCTTTTTAACAAAAACAGTGGAAGACTTCATGCTTTTATGAAATAATAATATCCAGTGGAAGAAAAAGAAATTGTTAAAAAAAATAGGCACAAACAGATCAGACCTTCACTGCAAAAACACAAAATCTTACAAAGTATGTCTGTTTTTGTGCAAATATCTTAGTTCACTTGAAATAAAACAAAGTAACTTTACAGTAAGAAACAGAAACTAGCTTTCAGTCAGTGATTTCTTAATATTTGTGAAAAAATGCTGCTTATACTGGCAGATTATTTTACTTCCAACATTGGAAGAATGTTTTGTTATAAGTGAAATAATCTGCCAATAAACCAAAGTTAAGGAGTCATTGACTTATAACAAGTTCCTGTATTTTGCTGAAAAATTACTCATGAGTTAATTTTGTCTTATTTCAAGAAAAAACTTGATTACATTTTGCGTTTTTGCACCAATGATT